ATATTTCTTAATCTATTTCATCAGCAATATATCTTCTCGGGACAAAACTTTTTGTATCATGATGAATAATATTCGGGATTAAGTCGTGGCGGAAAAGTAAGTAAGCATACAAAAACTCAAGTCACAATTGATGAACAATGTCTAATATGTAATCATCACACAATCCGCCTGTTATCCAGGAAGTTTGCCCGTTAAATATTTTTGCGTTTATATAATTACTGTAATATAACCTGGAGCTTTTTTTTTATTGGCTGCACCAGTCAGAAATCCATTTTGATAACATGGACTCATGACGTCATGAATTGAAAAAAGGCCAGTCAAAATGAACCTGCTTAATTATACCCTCCGCGTTTGTACTTTAAAACCTGTGAAAATGTTAATTAATGATTAATTAATTGTTCAACAATACTCGTAAACATAAAAGTTTTTATAAATCTCATAATAATAGTTGTGTTTTGGCATCAGTTGTATGTAGAAGACTGTGAAATATGGCCAGTTTTGATAAACTCTTCGATAAATTCAGCCTCGCATGAAACAAGTCTGCCGCCAAGGGGCATAGTTAGCTCCCATAGGTATGCCAATAGTATGTTGGAAGATCTTGCCCCCAAACTCGACGAAGATGCTGTCAACCAGAAAGTTGATAATTTTGATGTTCTCCGTATATTTCGTCTTCGGTTTGAACTTATTTTTTACGAAATACGCTTGAGAATAGTTCACAATGTACATTATCACTTGTGTCAAAGGAACATTTGTGAATAATTGAAGTTGTTCTGACACTTGTGGCCAAAGAAGCAACGTCAAATAGTGGAAATTATGGTGTTGTTGAAAAATCCTCTGAATGTTGACATCTAAGCATCACATTAGCAAGGTGAACATTTTTTTTTTTTTTTTTGAAAATGAAGTTGATGTGACCTTAGGGCCAAAGAGGCTGGATGCAGTTAGAGAAAGGAGGAGTGCCAATTTGGGCCTTCTGGTGGTAATTTTTTCTAATGAAGGTTTTGAAATATATCATCAAATGACAGTTTTAAAAAATCTAAAAAAACATTAAGTTTAATAATTATTGAAATAATAACTTGAGCTGACCTTAGATTAATGTCATGTCATTACCGCCTGACCTCAAGTTTTTAATAGATAAAAAAAATAAAAAGTATTCGCCATGGCCACCAGAAGGCCCAAACTGGCACCCCTCCTTTAGACAATCATTCTGCCATCTTGAAAAACAGATTCTTGATTCTTAAAAGGAATTTTGCTAAAAATAGTGTTAATGTCAAAGGGATAATAATTCTCTCAACATTAATTACTTACTGCCATATGATTATCTTGGCCCCTGAGTCCCTTGTAAGAATTTGCTACATTTCCCATTTTGGGTCCTTTTGGGACAAAGGGGGACAAAGTATGATCAAAAGAACTATTGAAAAACATAATGTCATATTCTCTAAATTAAAATCATGTTAATAATGAAGAGCATGTCAGATCGTTTCGTTTGAACCGTTTGTATTGAAGTCAGGACGATAATTATTAATACATAAACTATTATGACTTGTGTTTAGTAGTTGCACAGGAACTGCACTGCCGACTACAAGGGTACTTCTTCAATATGGTATTCCAAAGGTGCATCCGATTATACAGAGAAATCGCGGTCACATGGTTTGAGGCCGAGACATCCTGTAGGAAGGACAACGCATATATCCTCATTACGGACAGTCTGGAAAAAATCATAGAATACGACACTATCGCAAAATGTAATAGCTCTTGATCTGTATGCATGTGATCCGTCTCTTGTTATGAATGAAAGTATTGAGACATACAATGATGTGATAGGTTATATTTTAACTATTTTAACCTCCTAGAAGGACAAGACATCAGTATGATGTACAATGTAGTTTATTTCGGCATGTACTCATTATACATCTAAATTAAAAGTGGCATTCAATTGTTCCATTCGCAAAATACTTCTACGATGAAAATACATGTTAATTCAGTTATTTGATTATTATCAAATGGAAATGAGTTATTGTTTGAAAGATTAATTCTTTAACTGTTTATGTCATAGATTCTGCTGGATGGGTTGGCTTGTCTGACCACAGTTCCGATGGTCCAGGTCGAGACTTCAGATGGATGAACGGTAACTCCCTAAGTGATACCAGTCCCCTCTGGGGGCCTCACCAACCCAAAAATGAACTTTGTGTAGATGTCGGTATTTTCGATGGTGGACTAAATGACAGAGATTGTTATGAACGGTTGCCCTTTGCATGCCAGGAGATCATTTAATGTTGTCAGTATTTTGTAGGTACTCGGAACCTTCAAAATGACTTCATGGTATAAAAAAAAAAAAAAAAAATCTTTTAAAATGTCATCTATTTATAATTCAAAGCTTGTTTCTGTATTACTAATTTGTATTTAATTTGAACGTCTGATATAGAAAACTTGTATTCATCTATCTTGATACATTTGCTGTCTTGTATTATCACTCTATATCTCGTTGTGCTCTTAAGAACCCAGCGTACAATTATGGCATGTTGGTGAGGTCACTCCACGGTTTTATTGCACGAACCAAGAAGGATTTTGAAGAAAAACTTGCTTCTTGGTTAGTGCATGGGGAGTGACCAATATCAACATGCTGTAACTGTGCAGTACATTTTAGCAAAATAAATAAAAATTTCTGAACGTAAACGAAAATCTCAATATAGTATATATAGAATGGAACTTCATATGATACAATCAATAGAAGATTAGTGTGTGACGTTATGGTGTCTACACGATTACCTTCATCAGACAAATGGCCAGTGTGGAGCGTATATCACTGACGTACGTAGACTATGAGATTGTACGGAATCGGCCATCTTTTTCGGCTGTTCTATAATCCTATATACACTAAGGTCGAACATAGTGTGAAGAGATGGTAAACAGATTATAATCAAAATAGATATACACCAGATGTTAACAATGCACTGTAGTTCAATCGGCTACGCTTTATTTAACACTTGGTCCTAGATGTATGTGCCCCACCCCCTCCTCGTCCCTGTTAAGTACCTGCCCGCTGCGGCGAATTCAGATGATTTCCTTAACAAACCGCCTGAAAAGGTAGTTTTGCCTATCGACTATTTTGGAATTTTCCAAGTCAATGATATAATTTTGCTTACTTATTCATCTAGGACTGTGAAGATTTTGGTTTTGATCTAGCGATGTTCTTGTTTTCTAGGATTTCTGATGAGTCAGACCCCGAATCTCCTGTCTATTTCTCCAATATATGATGCGTCGCAATTATTGCATCCGATTTTGTAAACGCATTCTTTTTTCTTCTTTTTTGTTGACCTTAAGGTGAAATAAGATATTTTCGAGTGTCTTGTGAGGTTTCATGGCCGTTGCAATGTCATCACCATCGTAAATCCTCCAACTTGTCCTTTCGTTTTGTTCTTTTCCTTGGTGTTTCGTCTCTTAGTCTTTTTGCTTTCATTAAATTCATTGCTAACTTTCTGGATTGCCCGATCAGGGTACCCATATGTTTCCTTGGCGGTATGGATATGATTTTAAGCTCTTGTTTCTTGTCTTGGTCTTCTGTTACAAATGTTTTCACATCTTTTGAGCAAGGTTCGTACGACGCCCACCTTCTGGTGTAAAGGGTTGTGCGATCGGAATTTGAGGTATTAGTCTGTGTGCATCTTTTTCCTATAGACCAACACTTTGATAGTACCGTCACCTTTCTTTACTAGGAGGGTATCAAGGATTGACATAGTGCCAAAGATTTCTTCCTCACAAGTGAATTTGATGCTGTTGGTGGTATCTACGGTATTGATCTGCTCAATCAAATCTTTCTGTGACTTTTTTTTTTACTATTTCCAATATGTCATCAACATACCGCTTCCATGGTATATCTATGATATGTTAAGTCCTTCATTTAGCCTAGTAACATATTTTGATTTTAATAATTATTATTATTGTAGTTTACATATACGCATGTCTCCTTGATAGTAATTGCTTTCCATGTAGATATGTATTAGGAGGAGGCGTTAATATGTTGCAATATTTTGTGCTTCATCTCTTGTTCTGATTTTGACAATAAATGTGTTAAAATTAAATAAAGAAAAATGTTATGTGATATTGTCATTACTGTTCCGTCCTTTTTTAATCTGCATCCAATAAAGTGTTTGCAGTTTAAAAAATGCTAACAGTATCTCACCATGCCTGTTTGCTCGGTCCGTAAGTGTTTGTCATCCTTGGAATCCTGGATCAAGTTCGCAGAACTAAAATTGTAAAGTGATACTGTACATCTTTATCGTGGCGGTTTAAATGTAGATCTAGCTCCGTGGTTTCATGAACTCAAAAACATATGATATTATTCTTATAGATGTATTTTATCAGCTGAATCAATTGTCAGCTAGGCCTACATATGTACTCCGAATAAATTCATGTACTTGTTTGTTTTACTTGAAGAAGCACTGACGGATTACATAAATATTTTTATAAAATATTTTACGTGTGCGGGAGAACATTTTTCCACAGCTGAATGTGAAATTGTTAATTGTGGAGCTATAATCCGGTATATTTGGTAGGGGTTGGCTGCACTGAGACAGGCATAACGTAACTTAAGTGTGCCTTATCCTCATTCAATTTGCCAGTTGGTGGTTTAACCTCTCCCCCACCCTCCGCCCCTCTCCACAAACCCCTCATTAGTCACAGAAGATAATTCATGTAAGCCGATTCATTGTGATGTGAAGTGTTTGTTGTTTTACATATTTTATTTTAACAATGTTTAAAAAAATAAACGGCCACTATCGATTCACAGAACTGCCTTAATAGTTGTTTTTATCTTTGTGATAACGTGCAATTTGGCTGGTTGAGGAACCGTACATCACTATTGTATATTATCATCTGAATATCAACATGGACGTACACTGCAGAAGTGAGACTGATTGCACGCCATCAATAGTCATTGCCTTTTCGCGTCAATAATTCATTAAGTTATAGTCACGTGTCGAGAGGGAAAGGTAAACACAAACATGGCGGCGTCTTACAGACTGGTGAGTTATAATATACAACACTTGTACATAATATATCTACACGTCACTCATGTGCTATCAGACACGGTCATGATTAGTCACCAACACAAATAACTAAGGCACGGTGTTCATTCGTTCAACTATCAAATATGGCCTGAATTAGCATACAACTATCCGGTTACTACTGTAAACAAACATGCTTATGTGTAGGTTAGGACACATGAATGTTGGTATAGCGTATAGTATACTGCAGTTCGCTGTTCGTGTATAAAATGTCTAATCATTAGTGTGGTCACAACCTAGCGACACCTATACGCATTATGGAGTCTAGATAGTCTGAGTGATCAAAGAAGACGGCAAATTAGTTTAACAAAATTATTTGCAGGCAATATCATGTGCAGCTATTATTAATAACACGTTATTGTTCATCCTGTCTGATCTCCTAGAGTTACTTCCCTTCGTTTCACAATTCCACAATGGAAAACACTCGATTTCTATCTCATAGTTAATTTCAGTTAATCAAAGACGAAGAACACTTGTTTCAGTTTAAAGCGATGAAATTACCGCTGGTGCTGACTGGAACCATATCCGTAGAGAGAGAAAGCGTTCGATTTTATTTTCAATCGATTTCAGAACGTCAAAAAGTAAAGTTCTTTTTTGTATTAATATGTTGAAATGGCATGATATATAGAATATCTATATCAGGTACATACATATAAGTGCACGAAATCTTGCTCAAGTCCGCACGATCTGAGAGGTTCCTATCGTAACGGTCCCAGTCAGCGCTGTGACCAGTGTTGTATGTATCATGTTCTAGCAGACAAAAAGTGACCAGTGTTGTACCAAAGTTCTAGCGGACAAAAGGTAACCAGTGTTGTATGTATCATAGTTCTAGCAGACAAAAAGTGACCCATCATGTAAATCTTCGTCACACCCATCATGTAAAACTTGGTCACATCCTCCATGTAAATCTTGGTCACACCCACCATGTTAATCCTCGTCACACCCACCATGTAAATCCTCGTCACATCCATCATGTAAATCTTGGTCACACCCATCATGTAAAACTTGGTCACACCCACCATGTAAATCCTCGTCACATCCATCATGTAAATCTTGGTCACACCCATCATGTAAAACTTGGTCACACCCATCATGTAAATCTTGGTCACATCCTCCATGTAAATCTTGGTCACACCCATCATGTAACTCCTCGTCACACCCACCATGTAACTCCTCGTCACACCCACCATGTAAATCCTCGTCACACCCACCATGTAAATCCTCGTCACACCCAGCATGTAAATCCTCGTCACACTCATCCTTTAAATCTTAGTCACACCCACCATGTAAAATTTGGTCACATCCATCATGCAAATCTTAGTCATATCGATCATGTAAATCTTCGTCACATCCTACATGTAAATCTTGGTCACACCCACCATGTAAAACTTGGTCACATCCACCATGTAAATCTTGGTCACACCCATCATGTAAAACTTGGTCACATCCTCCATGTAAATCTTGGTTACATCCATCATGTAAAATTTGGTCACATCCTCCATGTAAATCTTCGTCACGCTCATCATGTAAAACATGGTCACATCCTCCATATAAATCTTGGTCACACCCATCATGTAAAACTTGATCACACCCACCATGTAAATCTTAGTCACACCCATCATGTAAATCTTGGTCACATCCACCATGTAAATCTTCATCACAGCCATCATGAAAATCTTGGTCACATCCACCATGTTAAACTTAGTCACATTCACCATGCAAATCTTTGTCACACCCACCAATTAAATCATCATCACACTCACTATGTATATCTTGGTCACATACTCCATGTAAATCTTGGTCACACCCACCATGTAAATCTTAGTCACATTCACCATGCAAATCCTCGTCACACCCACCATGTAAATCCTCGTCACACCCATCATGTAAATCTTGGTCACACCCACCATGTAAATCTTCATCACAGCCATTATGCAAATCTTGGTCACATACTCCATGTATATCTTGGTCACACCCATCATGTAAATCTTGGTCACACCCACCATGTAAATCTTAGTCACATTCACCATGTAAAATCATGTAAATCTTCGTCACACCCACCATGTATATCTTGGTCACACCCACATGTAAATCTTCGTCACACCCATCATGTAAATATCACACACCCACCATGTAATATTTGGTCACATCCATCATGCAAATCTTAGTCATATCGATCATGTAAATCTTCGTCACAGCCACCATGTAAATCTTGGTTACATCCATCATGTAAAACTTGGTCACATCCTCCATGTAAATCTTGGTTACATCCATCATGTAAAATTTGGTCACATCTTCCATGTAAATCTTCGTCACGCTCATCATGTAAAACTTGGTCACATCCTCAATGTAAATCTTGGTCACATCCATCATGTAAATCTTGGTCACACCCACCATGTAAATCTTAGTCACATTCACCATGCAAATCTTAGTCACACCCACCATGTAAATCTTCGTCACACCCACTATGTATATCTTGGTCACACCCACCATGTAAATCCTCGTCACACCCACCATGTAATATTTGGTCACATCCATCATGCAAATCTTAGTCATATCGATCATGTAAATCTTCGTCACAGCCACCATGTAAATCTTGGTCACATCCACCATGTAAATCTTGGTCACACCCATCATGTAAAATTTGGTCACATCTTCCATGTAAATCTTCGTCACGCTCATCATGTAAAACTTGGTCACATCCTCAATGTAAATCTTGGTCACATCCATCATGTAAAAGTTGGTCACATCCTCCATGTAAATCTTGGTCACATCCATCATGTAAAATTTGGTCACATCCTCCATGTAAATCTTCGTCACGCTCATCATGTAAAACATGGTCACATCCTCCATGTAAATCTTGGTCACACCCATCATGTAAAACTTGATCACACCCACCATGTAAATCTTAGTCACATTCACCATGCAAATCCTCGTCACACTCACCATGTAAATCCTCGTCACACCCATCATGTAAATCTTGTTCACACCCACCATGTAAATCTTCATCACAGCCATCATGAAAATCTTTGTCACATCCCCCATGTGTATCTTGGTCACACCCATCATGTAAAACTTGATCACACCCACCATGTTAAACTTAGTCACATTCACCATGCAAATCTTTGTCACACCCACCATGTAAACCATCATCACACTCACTATGTATATCTTGGTCACGTACTCCATGTAAATCTTGGTCACACCCACCATGTAAATCTTAGTCACATTCACCATGCAAATCCTCGTCACACCCACCATGTAAATCCTCGTCACACCCATCATGTAAATCTTGGTCACATCCACCATGTTAATCTTCATCACAGCCATTATGCAAATCTTGGTCACATACTCCATGTATATCTTGGTCACACCCATCATGTAAATCTTGGTCACACCCACCATGTAAATCTTAGTCCCATTCACCATGCAAATCTTAGTCACACCCACCATGTAAATCTTCGTCACACCCACTATGTATATCTTGGTCACACCCACCATGTAAATCCTCGTCACACCCACCATGTAATATTTGGTCACATCCATCATGCAAATCTTAGTCATATCCATCATGTAAATATTCGTCACAGCCACCATGTATATCTTGGTCACACCCACCATGTAAATCTTCGTCACACCCATCATGTAAAACTTGGTCACATCCTCCATGTAAATCTTCGTCACATCCTCCATGTAAATCTTGGTCACACCCAACATGTAAAACTTGGTCACATCCTCCATGTAAATCTTTCACATTCACCATGCAAATCCTCGTCACACCCACCATGTAAATCCTCGTCACACCCATCATGTAAATCTTGGTCACACCCACCATGTAAATCTTCATCACAGCCATCATGCAAATCTTGGTCACACCCATGTAAATCCTCGTCACACTCATCATGTAAATCTTGGTCACAGCCATCATGCAAATCCTCGTCACACCCACCATGTTAATCCTCGTCACACTCATCATGTAAATCTCTTGGTCACACCCATCATGTAAATCTTCATCACAGCCATCATGCAAATCCTCGTCACACCCACCATGTAAATCCTCGTCACACTCATCATGTAAATCTTGGTCACACCCATCATGTAAATCTTCATCACAGCCATCATGCAAATCCTCGTCACACCCACCATGTAAATCCTCGTCACACTCATCATGTAAATCTTGGTCACACCCACCATGTAAATCCTCGTCACACTCATCATGTAAATCTTGGTCACACCCACCATGTAAATCTTCATCACAGCCATCATGCAAATCTTGGTCACATCCACCATGTATATCTTGGTCACATCCAACATGTAAAACTTAATCATACCCACCATGTAAAACTTGGTCACATCCTCCATGTAAATCTTGGTCACACCCATCATGTAAATCTTCATCACAGCCATCATGCAAATCCTCGTCACACCCACCATGTAAATCCTCGTCACACTCATCATGTAAATCTTGGTCACACCCACCATGTAAATCTTCATCACAGCCATCATGCAAATCTTGGTCACATCCACCATGTAAAACTTGGTCACACCCATCATGTAAATCTTCGTCACACCCACCACGCAAATCTTTGTTGCATTCCATATTTCACGACGAGATATCAAACTGAGGACCATACCACTTCCCCTTTTATGACCGGCATTGTTTCGTGGACTCACAAACCAATGTCATTATGATACTTATGAAATCTGTTTAATACAACAGGGTACAGTGAATGCATGTGGTCCCAACTTCAACCCTGAGAATGCTGCCAATGCCTTCCACAAAGCTATGAAGGGGTTCGGTCGGTATTATCATTTCCATTCGTGTTAAAATAATATTACACAAATTATACTTTTATACAGACAAAAATCATGTATTATACCAAAAGATAACGGTAACACTATCTTATGTTGCAATCAATTAAATATTCCACTTGTAAATGATTGTCAATCATGGTAAAATAAGCACGTGATCAATACAGACTAAACATCTGCCATGGATATTTGCAAAACTTTGCATTCAAAAAAAAAGTTTGTTTTATTCGATGTTAAGGACATGTGGATCAGCTTCAAATATAGCACCATAAGTAACGGGTTATCAGCACAGTTTGTGGCGTAAAACAACAGCAGTGTCATCTCATGCATCCTCGGTGCTCCGGAGGTTACCTTCACTTTCGCTCTCTGCACCCCTGGGACAAGTCATGGCAAAATTGAAGGCACAAACAAAGTAAATTGATCGGTTCCAGGCGAAAAAAAATACCAATCATAGACTTTTTGAAGATTACAAAGAAACGACATCCAACTTCAAAGCCATTACAACATACCGTTGTGCGACCTCGACATTTGTTTGATGTGCATCAAAGGATTAAACTAGCCTTTCTGTCTTGTCCACAAGGTATTTGCTATATGTTCCAAGGAGACGGAGAGAAGCGATCGTGACCCTTGGAGTATCGAGGATGCATCACATGAAACTCGTAATTGCAACTTTGACGACTGATTTTGACGTTCTCTCGCACGTTGCCCAATAACGTTCCAAATGATTCCGATGGACAGCTTTAACAAGCACGTTATTCTGTCGCAGGACAGTCCTGCTGATGCGTCAGTTAAAATTGTGCCGACGCCATGGTGCTTTAAGAATGGAAGAAACACAAGTTTTGCAATTTCGTCCCGACATCAAATGCCGTTTAATTTGTCACTGATCACAAGTCTGGAGCGATGCCCCTACAAATGCTACCTGAAATTATTAAACTTTCGGACCAAAGCGATCCCGTTCTGAGACGAAGCAGTTCAAAAAACGCTTCCCTCGCCTTCCGTCTCCATGTTGCAGACAAAATCTGGGCGCTTCTGAAAACAGAACATTGTTCCATTCTCATAAGATCCAAAGACGGTGAACTCAGGTACAGCTACGGCAAATGGGCCCAGTGTAAGGACGCTTTCAGTCGGTAGGCGTTTTTAGCTAAAGCGGACTGTTTGGGCAGACACCATCCTCGATACTCCAGGGGTTACGATCACTTTCGCTCTCTGCATTCCTGGAACATGTCATGGCAAAGTGGAAGTTTCCATGTGCGACAGCCTGTGGACAAGACAAAACACTAGTTTGATCCTTTGATGTACATTAAACGAATATCGCGGTCGCAAAACGGTATAATGTAGTGGCTTTGAAGTTGGACGTCGTTCCTTTGTAATCTCTAAAATGAGCGTATCTGCATATGATTCTCCTGGAACCAATCAAATTTTTTCACTTGTGCCGTCGACTTTGCCATGACAAGTTCCAGAGGTGTAGAATACAATTCCTTTGTTGTATTAACTGCCCTTTCCCCCTTTGACAACTGGGACATAACGGTAAAAAGTGACAGTTTAACACATTTTATGAAAACCAAGCGAAGAGACAAGTTAGTCAAAGAAAACCTCGTGACACTCTTCCGTCAACACAGATTTTCACACATTAATGATTTTGGTAACTCCATAGGATTTTGTAAATAAATTTGAACTTCTGCCATTTTCTCTTAGAAGCCCCTTTAACGTATTAAAAAATATTTTTTGTAAAGGCACCGATGAGAAAGCTATCATCAAACTCCTGTCAGGCCATTGTAACGGCGAACGTCAAGAAATCAAACGCATATTCAAGGGCATGTTTGGGAAGGTAAGTTACAAGTCATGTTTGGAAAGGTAAGTTACGAGGTCACGTTTGGGAAGGTAAGTTACGAGGTCATGTTTGGGAAGGTAAGTTACGAGGTCACGTTTGGGAAAGTAAGTTACGAGGTCACGTTTGGGAAAGTAAGTTACGAGGTCACGTTTGGGAAGGTAAGTTACGAGGTCACGTTTGGGAAGATAAGTTACGAGGTCACGTTTGGGAAGGTAAGTTACGAGGTCATGTTTGGGAAGGTAAGTTACGAGGTCACGTTTGGATGGCGGTAAGTTACAATGTCACGTTTGGAGCGCGGTAAGTTACATGATCATGTCTGAAGCGGTAAGTAACAAAGTCATGTCTATGTTTAAAAGGTGATGTTTGCAGCGGCACTATTTTGTTGATAAGTATAGCTCAATAAATGTACTAAAACTAATTTTAACAGTTCATGGACATATGAATTCATGGATTAATGACACTCAAAAAAAAAAAAAAAAAAAACCCAAAAAACATCTAAACTAAATTCCCTTCGAAAATTAATGATTTGACAGTACGAGGTACTATAATGTCTGAAGAGGTAAAATACCAGGTCAGATTTAAAGTGGTAAGTTTATGTTTGAAACAGTAAGTTTCGAGAAAATACTTAGATCAGCATATTGCAATATCGTGTTTTGATGGCAAGATTAAAACATAATGAGTCTTGGATTCACGTAAATATCTAAATACGGTTCAATGCCGAGATCTACTTATATAATGTAGATACCTGCATATTTCAGAAAAAGAAAAACGGAAGCGAAGCATGTTTGGCGCCAAGGTTTATCAGTAACAATTGATCAGCGTGGTTTGGTGTAATGTGACAGATTAGACCATGGTTATAAACATCACAGTGTCCTCGGTTTATTTGTAGGATCTGGAAGAAGAGCTGAAGGGAGAATTGAGTGGTCACTTCTTAGATCTGTGTCTGTACCTATTGATGCCTGCGCACCACTTTGATGCCTGGTGTCTTCACAAGGCCATGAAGGTAATCTATACAAGTACTGTGTATAATTGGTGATTGAAGTCCAAATATATTACCAAAGTCAGACTAATCAGAAATTATCAACATAGTCATTATCCTTTTCTTTCCAGGGCATAGGAACCAAAGAGATTCGCCTCATCGAAATTTTAAGTACGAAGTCCAACTCCGAGATACAGCGTATAAAAACAGACTACAAAAAACGTAAGAAAATATTGTATGTAGCCGACGATTATCTACTTACATCGTTGATGTTCCAAAGACTTGCTTTAAGAATATCATTGTTTATTTAAATATTTTCCCTGTCTGATATATGACTTGGTATGATCAGTTTTTGGACAGGAGCTGGAGAGTGCTGTAGTGTCGGAGACCAGCGGCGATTTCCGCCATATCCTCGTGTCCCTGGTCCAGGGAAACAGGAATGAAGAGCAATACATTGATAGCAATATAGTCAGACAAGATGTCAAGGACCTGTACAACGTAAGTACATACAGGCATGTGGACTTGTACAATATTAGCACATATTGTGCACAGGTCGTTACAACATTACTACACAGGGCCGTGAGGACCTCTACAACGCAAGTACATACAGGCATGTGGACTTGTACAAAATTAGCACACATTGTGCATGGGTCGTTACAACATTACTACACAGGGCCGTGAGGACCTGTACAACGTAAGTACATAAAGGCATGTGGACTTGTACAACATTAGCACACATCGTGCATGGGTCGTTACAACATTACTAAAAAGGGCCGTGAGGACCTGTACAACGTAAGTACATACAGGCATGTGGACTTGTACAACATTAGCACATATTGTGCATGGGTCGTTACAACATTACTACACAGGGCCGTGAGGACCTGTACAACGTAAGTACATACAGGCATGTGGACTTGTACAACATTAGCACACATTGTGCATGGGTCGTTACAACATTACTACACAGGGCCGTGAGGACTTGTACAATTTACAATTAGAGAGGACATGTGGATGTTTACAACATAAATACATAGGTCAGTATTCCTGTACAAATTAAACAGGAACCAGGAGGGGGCTGCAGAATGGGAGGGGTGGGGGCGGCATGGTACATTAGTACACAAATGCAATCATTTCAGAATTACACATGGATATGGGGCCAACAATTTAGACAGGAGTGCTAGGACCTATATAAACACACAGGGTAGCAGGCCTTGTACCACTAAAGTACAAAATGATGCTAAAACAAAAATACAGAGAAGCATGTGAACCAGTACAATGTAATATCAAATTTTCAGTACACTGTAGTTTGTAAATCTGTACCTTGAAATTACACAGGAGAGTACAGACCTGTACACTGTAAGTACACAGGAGCATGTGAACCTGTGCAATATAAATAAACATGTTTGTCCTGTGTTGTGGTTTGACTGGATTTTGGAAGTAAAAGTTTGTTACTATCAGAGAAAGTGTGAATATTGTTTGGATATCATGGAATTGTAACTGACAAAAAGAATTCTATTTGTATCTGTGCAAATTTTAGAGATCTTTATATAAATACTTGCTACAGAATATGTAAAGGTAACCATAATTGTCTATTGATAATTGAATAAACCAGTACAATGTATCTATTATCTACTGCTGTTAATAACTTACAAAAACAAGAATTCTGCATAATAAAATATGTCTTTTTAAACCTGCTAGAGTTATTAAACGGCTTAGAAAATCTTCAAATCAAATATCTTCAAAGTAGTTTTTGTCCATTCTTAAAATTCACCATAATTTCATGCTATTTTTCACACTAGAAATGGTTTCTGGTAATAAAAATCACCATTTTTGTCTTGATGTGAATATCCCCACTGTAAGATCTAACAATATTTCAAAATTTGTTGTTGTATTGTACAGTATGTGGAATGTGACCGCTGACAGAAAAATGAAACATGTTTCCATTCGAAGTAAGACAAGTACTGGACAAAGGTATTTTCTAAGTATTTTCTCTCAAATGGTCTGCAGTTATCAATTTTACCTCTAATAATAATTCCTCTTTGAAGGCTGGAGAAAGAATTCTGGGAACAGATGAGTCTGTATTTAACAAGGTGTTGGCACTGAGGGGTACTGGTCACCTCCAGGAGGTATTCAAGTTGTACCGTGAGGAGCACCAGCGAGACATTGAGGCAGTCATTTCCTCAGAGACCAGTGGGGACACCAAGGAAGCCTATCTAGCCATCGGTATGCTCAATAAGTCTAATGACTACATGTATATTAAGGCAACACTTAACCCTTCAGATTAATACATTTCATTCCTCACAATAAACGTTTTAATCTGACACATTTTTCGGTGTGTGCTGTCACGAGTAACAGGTTTATCAAGTGACAAAAGAAAAGCTGATATGTCAAAAGTTGCTCTACTTCCTCATCCCAATTGAGGAATGGCTGAAGAATTCCCACTTCTTCTGTCTCAAATTATGAAAACTTTTAGATTTAAGAACCTAGCTGATTTTTTTGCTTATAAGGTGGCCATTTTTTAAAGTGACTCCTTTTAAAAAAATTTTCAAACATCTTAGTTTTTCATTATTAAAATATTTTAACTTTGATACATTGCAGTTAAATTTATCAAGGATCCTCCAAGATACTTTGCAGAATGTCTGTACAAATGTATGGAGGGGGTGGGAACCAAGGACGATCGACTGATGCAGTTAGTGGTGGATCGTAGTGAGGCAAGGGAGTTTTTGCAACATATGCTGATGGCATTGTGACAGGCTTGTTTATGATATATTTTACTAGCAGAAGACCTGTTTGCCTTGTCTATAACAGGATGAGTATTGTTTTTCATACTGAAGTCTGTCAAGATGATGTACTTTGGTTTGTACCAAATAAATAACATAAAAAAATTCCTCTGTCATTAAGTTCCTATATCTTCCCTTTTATATACTTAAAAGTAATGAGCTCCATGAAAGTGCATCAACTATAGCTTTAAAACTCTGATTGATGAAGTAGATTTTTAAGTTCTAAGTTATAAGTATTAATTATGTTTTATTTAAAAACTGGTGCAAAAAATTAATAGTCTACTTTCTGTATAGAGACATTAGGGAAGTGTGTAAGAGTTGTTTAGAAAATAAATTTTTTAAAGATTTAGAAAATAAAATCACTGTATCAAAGTTATTTGAGTCAACATGTTAAACTTAAGAGTTAAATAATCAAATTTTATGTGGTCTTTCATAACAGATTGACCTGAAGGACATTGGAGACAAGTATATGGAGATGTACAAGACGGCTTTGCCGACTGCTGTAGCAGATGACACCAGTGGAGACTACCGCAACTTGTTAGTGAGCTTAACAAATCCAAAGTAGAGGATTTTCGTTTTATAGGAGTAAGACTAATATGGAATCTGAGGAGAAATCCAATGCAAGGCATCTGAAAGTGACTTGGAATCAATATATACATTTTTGTGATGAAACAAAATCATAAATTAGGGTATTGTGATATTCTGTGAACGTTCTAGATGATAGTGGTTTTAACATTACTAAATTATAAGCTATTAATGGTCTTTGGGAAGAGGAATTGATCTTAAGCTCTAAGCTTGTTTTCCAATCTCATACTTATGTGTTTGTGTCAAATTGTTGAACATTGAGTAAAATATTCTTAAAAGTAAACTATTAATGACCTCGACTTTCATGCATGTTTACTCATCTGTGCTGGATAGTAATCTACTTCACAATAAAATTGTAGTTTTATGTTAAACTGATTTCCTTTTATCTATCAATAATTTATAAGGTTTACCGTTTGGTGTTAATACAGATATTGTAAAAGTTTTGAAATTCTGCAACTGCAGGTTGAATTTGATATTGATATCCCTATTACAATGGTGCTGTTAATTCTTTTCTCCAAATGAGACTTGAAAATCTGAATAAGACAAAATTATAATTTCAATTTGAAGGTTGTTTTCTGCAAAGGCCAAATCTACATAACATTTTCATCTTTATTTTAAAACATACATATATCATGAATTATTCTGTATTTTGATCATCACAGAGTCATTAAGTAGGTTTTCAATTTGTCCACAGCTCGGTATCTGTGAGATATAGTGTTCTTGGTTGATTTGGGCATCTCTGCATAAGTCTGTTTAAAACCCGCAGGCTCAAAACAGGGGTCCCAACCAAAGTCTCTCGGACCTCTAGGGTCCACAATTGATCCTTCAGTTTTTCCAACAAATAACTTAACCTCTGAGTCCTTTTTTCCATCGCTGTAGGCAAATATACACATTGCATAAGCAGTCTTGTCTTCAAATCCTGCTAGCATCTTGTATAGACCTACAAAGTACAATACAACAACATGTTAACAACTAAATATAACATATTTCATGGGATAAGAACAATATAACATCCAAATTTGAGGACTTCTTCTCATCTGATCATTTTATCTCATCAGATATTACCCACAATCACAAGAGGTTTGACCGTCTCATTACATCAGAAATTACCTGTAATCTCATCTGATCATTTTATCTCATCAGATATTACCCACAATCACAAGATGTTTGACCGTCTCATTACATCAGATATAACCTGTATTATCATCTGATTGTCTTATCTCATCAGATATTACCCACAATCACAAGAGGTTTGACCGTGTCATTACATCAGATATAACCTGTAATCTCATGAAGTCTGACCATCTCATCACATCAGATAATACCTGTTATCTCATGAAGTCTGACCATCAAATTGTTTCAGATAATACCTGTTATCTCATGAAGTCTGACCATCTAATTGTTTCAGATAATACCTGTTATCTCATGAAGTCTGACCATCTCATCACATTAGATAATACCTGTTATCTCATGAAGTCTGACCATCTAATTGTTTCAGATAATACCTGTTATCTCATGAAGTCTGACCATCTCATTACATTAGATAATACCTGTTATCTCATGAAGTCTGACCATCTCATCACATTAGATAATACCTGTTATCTCATGAAGTCTGACCATCTAATTGTTTCAGATAATACCTGTTATCTCATGAAGTCTGACCATCTCATCACATTAGATATAACCTGTAATCTCATGAAGTCTGACCATCTAATTGTTTCAGATAATACCTGTTATCTCATGAAGTCTGACCATCTAATTGTTTCAGATAATACCTGTTATCTCATGAAGTCTGACCATGTCATTACATTAGATAATACCTGTTATCTCATGAAGTCTGACCGTCTCATCACATCAGATATAACCTGTAATCTCATGAAGTCTGACCATCTAATTGTTTCAGATAATACCTGTTATCTCATGAAGTCTGACCATCTCATCACATTAGATAATACCTGTTATCTCATGAAGTCTGACCATCTCATTACATTAGATATAACCTGTTATCTCATGAAGTCTGACCATCTAATTGTTTCAGATAATACCTGTTATCTCATGAAGTCTGACCATCTCATTACATTAGATAATACCTGTTATCTCATGAAGTCTGACCATCTCATTACATTAGATATAACCTGTAATCTCATGAAGTCTGACCGTCTCATCACATCAGATATAACCTGTAATCTCATGAAGTCTGACCATCTAATTGTTTCAGATAATACCTGTTATCTCATGAAGTCTGACCATCTCATTATATTAGATATAACCTGTAATCTCATGAAGTCTGACCATCTAATTGTTTCAGATAATACCTGTTATCTCATGAAGTCTGACCATCTCATTATATTAGATATAACCTGTAATCTCATGAAGTCTGACCATCTAATTGTTTCAGATAATACCTGTTATCTCATGAAGTCTGACCATCTCATCACATCAGATATAACCTGTAATCTCATGAAGTCTGACCATCTAATTGTTTCAGATAATACCTGTTATCTCATGAAGTCTGACCATCTCATCACATCAGATATAACCTGTAATCTCATGAAGTCTGACCATCTAATTGTTTCAGATAATACCTGTTATCTCATGAAGTCTGACCATCTCATTACATTAGATATAACCTGTAATCTCATGCAGTGTGACCGTCTAATTGTTTCAGATAATACCTGTTATCTCATGCAGTGTGACCGTCTCATCACATCAGATAATACCTGTTATCTCATGAAGTCTGACCATCTCATCACATCAGATATAACCTGTAATCTCATGAAGTCTGACCATCTCATCACATCAGATATAACCTGTAATCTCATGAAGTCTAACCGTCTCATCACATCAGATATAACCTGTAATCTCATGAAGTCTGACCATCTAATTGTTTCAGATAATACCTGTTATCTCATGAAGTCTGACCATCTAATTGTTTCAGATAATACCTGTTATCTCATGAAGTCTGACCATCTCATCACATTAGATATAACCTGTTATCTCATGAAGTCTAACCGTCTCATCACATCAGATATAACCTGTAATCTCATGAAGTCTGACCATCTAATTGTTTCAGATAATACCTGTAATCTCATGAAGTCTGACCATCTCATCACATCAGATAATACCTGTTATCTCATGAAGTCTGACCATCTAATTGTTTCAGATAATACATGTTATCTCATGAAGTCTAACCGTCTCATCACATCAGATATAACCTGTAATCTCATGAAGTCTGACCATCTAATTGTTTCAGATAATACCTGTAATCTCATGAAGTCTGACCATCTCATCACATCAGATAATACCTGTTATCTCATGAAGTCTGACCATCTAATTGTTTCAGATAATACATGTTATCTCATGAAGTCTGACCGTTTCAAGGCAAAGGTCTTTGAAGGACTTAACTTTGACCCTTTATGGTTTTCCCACTTTTATCCATAATTGCAGATTGTGATACCTGCCTCCTGATAATGCTGTACCTATAATTTCGCCTATAATTAACTGACCTTCTGGTCCCACACTTTTTAGGAACCACTTGATGTAGGGGCCAGGCATACCCCCAAGAGCATTAAAACACAGACTGGTGTCCTCAATCAGCACTGGACCCTGGACATGCTCAGCTGCCAGCTGACACTTTGACCTTGCTACTTCTTCAGGGTCTCCCTGGAACTCTGGTAGGTCAATGTCCTTACTAATAACCTGTTAACAAGGGTAACTTAAATGTCAAATGCTAGGTAGACATGATGTATTGCTGAAACAGAAAATTCAAAACAACTGTTGATTCATTAACAGGAGTTCCTATGTTCCATATCAAGTACTATCTACTGTAAATATACATATTTTAGCAGTGATTTTGTTTGAGCACTTTTTGCACACAAAGTATTGCAATGAAATATGGTTGCGATAAATGCAGTTTCTATATCATGTTTATTCAACCATTGAATGTCTGTCAGATTGTAAGAAAATTCGAGTGTTTACATGTTTAGATCTCAGTGTGCTCCTCTGAGCTGTCATAATGTCTCCTGCACAGGAAAAAACATGTTCACTTGGAACAGATGTCCTTGGAACACAATGGTAGTGTTTTGCTAACCTGGATAAAAATATGCTTTCTCTTTCTACCATTAAAATATCTTTCATATTTATGCAAGGAACTTTCTGATATTTTGCTACTTCTTCCTAGAAGCCATTTCCAATTTAGGCTTGTGACTTTTTCCCTCATGAACAACATAAACATATCCTAATAAGTCACTCAAAGCACAACTAGTACTACTTGTATCCTCAGCCATAATTCTGTTCTTAATGGGCAACTCATCAGATCCAGAACTAAGTCTGAGAAAGCTTTGAATGTCACCGAAGCAGCAACAAATTTGTATTTGCATGTTACTTAGCTTGAACTTGGTCAAGGGAGGTAACTACAGATGTTAAAAAATAGGTATGCGACACATTTCAAGGATGGATGATGCATCGATGCACAACCTCTTGATACGATGCGTTGATGCATTGGTGAATCATTACATCCCTACTTACCAATACATTGAATATTACATGATTACATGTACTTTGGTATGAAACCTTTCAACTCACCTTAGATTTGAAATCTGTTCCCAAAATGTCCACAAATTCTTGCAATTTTTTTGGGTTTCCTGTCACCATGACAATTGGTTGGTTATCATCTTTGTTCATTCTGGGGATTTTAGTGTTTCTTGAGATTTGAGTGTCTGATATGCTTGAAGTCTACAATAAAGTTCAATATACATGTAGCTGAACCATTGCCAAAGAAGCATGATGCACAATTAAGGACCAAGAGAACTTCAGCATACTTGAGATATGGTGATAACAAAAACTGATATAGAAAATAGACAAGTGAAAAATTATTTTCACTGCACCTCAGTAGGTGTTGCTGAGCTTATGAATAGCAGAAAATATCACCATGAGCATCTGGGCATCAATTACACAATTAAAATCCTATGAACCATAGGTACTGGGTAGTCCGAATTATTCTGACTTAAATTAACTTTGTAAAATTTGTCTTGAGTCGTTGAATGCTATTAGAATATCAGAATAATTTGGACTAAAGTTTAATTCGTTTTGTTTGCTGGATTTACTGCCCCATGGTATAGTAGTAGCTGATGGCAAACCTACTGAAGCAAAATACAGGAGGACTATGTGCTGTCATCCAAAGCATTTAGGATAAAGTGTCTTTCCCAATGACATGTTAGAACAGACTGGTTTCTTTCTCAGCTTCCTGAGGATCACAATCTGCCATGGTTACGGAGTGCCTAACCATGCATCTCAGACCTTCACCTGAGCTTATGTAGGCCAAGACTCTAATCCACTGAAGTATTGTAGCCCTTGGTTACTAATACAAGCTGTTGTGCCAGTCTAGGTATGGAGGCCAAAAAAGCTGGAGCAAGTATATCTCTTCAACATGTTTTGAGAATCAGCAGAAATGGAAGTGCTGACAAATAAATGGACAGACATTGTGATTACAATTGGACATCTGGTTTTTTTTACCAAGCCTTAATAATTTTTACAAAGCCTTAATAACCAACAAGAAGTGTATCATTTCAGTTCACTTACATATAAATGAAAATGTCCAACGCTTGATTTTCTTCTTCTGGAAAGCAGATGGCTACACAAAACACTTGACCTCAAGCAAGTTGGCTTGACAGACACATCAATAAAGGATACAAGTCTGATAGATGCTCTCGTCACAGTCGGAATCATGTAGAAGATTAGTTTTTGAAAAATATTGAAGTACTGCAACAGACAAAATGGATATTACATGTAGATCTACCAGTTATACTGGGGAAATGTTATAGGGTATACATAACAGCAGTAAAGGTATAAAACAATTTTCGTTTGAAATCACATTTAAAAGAATTTATACTGATCATCAAAATTTCCCTAATACCAAATGAAAACTAATTGATCAATGTTATAAAACATAATTCACTACCCTCTCTTCCCAATTACTGTTTTACACATTTACTGCTCTTAGACTGTCATTCCTTTTCTTCAGAAGTCTCTTGTTATAGAAGTGCCCATGTTTGATAAAACCTTTTGTCTAGTTCATGCCAAAAATACTCAAATCTGGACAGTAAGGTTACCAATAAAGAATGAGAATATATTTCTTGTTTAGATAAAAGTTTTCATGTACAAGCCTTCTTTGCAAGTCCCATGGAGTCCTGAACATACTGCAAATACCATATTCTGCAGATCACAGAATGGTGTCAAAATTGTATAGCTTCAGATGAAAACAAACGTGCTTCCGAACTTTATACAGTATGTTTGAACAATCTACCTTGAAAGAGAATCATCGATATTGTGCAAGGTCAATTTAGTCGGACTGATTTTAGTTAATTCCAATTGCTAGACTTGCTGAAACTGTTGAATCTTCAATTTTACTTTTCATTGGAGTGAAAGATTAGAACATGCTTCATTATTCTATCAAACAAATTATAAAGTTAAAAATGTTTCAATTTATTGATATAAATAAATAAATTTATCACCAGAGACGTATATATCACATATATGTTATATACGTCTCTGTTATCACTAAAGTAGCAACTTAACTATAAGAAATGAACTTGAATTTTGCTAGTACTGTGAAAATACACAAACTTATTCTAAATCAATGTAACAGAGTGGTATATTGCGGTAGTATTTTACGAGGGTTACATCAATGTTCCTATAATACCAGATATTCCTATCCGTAAAAGTACTCACTCTTCTTCTTGTCTTGTCGTGAGTCAACGGCAAGGCAGGAATCTACTTTCTCTTTCCCGCCTATTTCGGAGAGCTTCGTGATTTATTATTTTACTATGAGAGTTCCGAATAAATTTAGTTTCGGTTTTGTGTCCTAAATATTATTAGTTCTACATCAATATGACGTAGTTTAAGATGTAAACACTAAAAAGAAATATTATTCACTGGGCTCTTGATCAAATACTGATTTACACCAAAATTTGAATGAAGAAGTAATTCGTACGAAAACAACCTTGATCATCATTATCAGTAATGGCGGCGTACATCATGAAAGTGCGTTGAGGGAAAAAGCATTGAATATTCCTGTAATCATGGCCCGTCATAGGAATGTGCGGACTATGAACTACGAAGATGGTATAATTAAGTTGTTTCCATTTGCGAAATGATGTTGCCATTATTTTACATGTTTATGATATTTGATGTCTAATCATTTAATGTTTCTTTATGGGCGACAGCTTGCTTTTCCCAGCTCAGATATCGCCCTACATAACATCAGAACATTAGAAGCCGCTGCGGTCGGCTGATTTGTTTTCTGACACTTTTCTTTCGACTACAATGCGGCTATCGCAAGTTTCTCGCGGTGTAAAACGAACATTGTCAGAGTCATTTTCTTTGCACGTTGCAGACAGGTATTGGAGCACCGGCAAATCTTACTATACGTGTATAGGGTAGATGTAAACAACTGAACCATGCCTGGTTGCGATCATGGTGTGCACATCGAAAATATGGACAACAAGTCTAGTGAGGTAGTATAATGAATATTTCTTATCACAGGACACCATTTCCGGTGAGTTGGTTGAATTTCATCGGTGCAATTTTTGGTACTTGCATCTCTTTATCCACATGTTCCGATGGTGAGACATGATATTTCCTTAATTCATTATCAAAACACCTCATTTCTCACTGTCTTGCACCACAATCACACTCATTGTTGATTATGATATATTTGCATGGAGACATCATGCTGAAAGTGCACCTGTGGCCTGAATTGGCATCAAAGGAATGCATATCTGCAGACGACACCAGGAGTGAATGACGCCATATTGGTTGTTATCCATTTTTCTATTTACATGAAAAAAATGTGACATGACCTCACTTGTGTGTTTACACTTGCCCTACATTCATATTGTCAAATTTGACTATATAGCCAAATCTGCCTACATAGCCAGATTTACTGGTGCTCCATTAACTGGTAGAAGTGATATGAAAAAAAGTTGTAGATTTATATTTTTGAAGCAGAAGGATTGGATTGAAACAATACATTTATTCTCTATCTGTTTCAGAATATTTTTTCTTTCATAATTTCTTTTGTGAATGAAGCAGATAAGAAGTATGAGTGATACTCTGTTGATAAAAGTCTCAAAGTTGATTTGGTTGGTTGGTTTTCATGCAATATTTTGTGTGTTTAACGCTGACCAGTGCTATTTTGTCAGCCAGTGATCATGAGAAGTGGAGTTTATTTTGTCAAAAAAACCCTCAACTTATCAGGAAAAGTCAAAATGAATTATCTTAAAAATTGTGTGTGTCATGTAAGAAAAATATTCAGCTTGTCTCCTTATTTGTTGTAGTTTACTTTCTTGGAACAAGTTTTTAGCATCACAAATCTCATATTGTTGATGTATGTATTTAATGATTTTATTTGAATTTTTACTTTGTTTTTATTTGCACATGAATTCTTGAAGGGATATTTTTTATAGGTCAGGATAATTTTTAGCTAAATCAAAAGTTTGGAAATCCAACAAGTTTGTTGTTCAAGGCTGATCACATATGCAGCTGTTGGATGTTGTTCAGTTCAGTTTTGAACCACTTTGAACTTAGACTCACGATACCAAAAAATGCTTGCTATCAATCATGCATCATCATATGAAAAAACTATTTTCTTCTGTAACAGGAAGGGTTGATAGAAAACGTTCAATGAAAAATTATGATTTACATAAAATCAGACGATAATGTGATGTTTAACTACATAAGAAATTATATATTTTTAAGCAAGCAATGAAAATTTTCTAATGCATGGAAAATATTACTTGTTGAGAAACTCTGAAAAAGTCATACTTCAAAGAAATTGAAGATATTAGCATTATTTCATCTTGGTTCATGCATTTGTCGTTCTTCTGTACACCAAAAGGAGACAGAAAATTTATGAGATTATAAATTTTCCATGTGCAAGTTGAATATAATGGGAGATTATAATTTTTTATAGCTAGATATCAATATTAATTTTTTGGTCTACGTTGGTGATATTGCAGGTATAATAAGAAATATTTCAGTAATTTTTTGGATGAGAAAATGTATTCTGTGGACTATTATTTTGAGCAGTTGTCAAAGGAATGTTTCTGCACTGGTCTGACCTTTTATTTTGTTTCTCAATAGAGTGTTTTTTAGGTTCAAATAGCTGATAACACAAGTGGAAGTGTAGCCCAATATAGTAATTTTTGTCAGACATTGTCATGAGATTAGCTATGTCGAGTTGGAGATGAAATATGAATGAGAATGAAAGTACTCATTGACAAGCACTGTCAAACAGAGGTTTTATCCATTGATTAGCACAGAGAACTAAATATACTTTCTGTTGTAGAGATATTCCATGAGGATGGCTACATGGTCATACAGAGCTTGAAAAATCTGCATACTGACAACATTACTGATATTTAGTTTTATAGTATTTAAGTGAACTTAAATTTGGGTATTTATGTGAAAATGTGGCATAAATGATATTGATCAAAATTGATTAATTGATATCCTAATTTGTGAACAGTTTCGTTATACTCCTGGTGAATTGACTTTTCATTAGATGGCCATTTTTTCCCCTATCAATCCATTATGCAAACTATAAAAAAATGGTAAAAACATCATTGAAAATATCACACCATGTAGGAACAGTGAAAGTAGAAACTTGCTGGATACTATATATATGTTATCAGATAATTTTCGTAGCAACTTACAACAAATTCCATGTAATTGTTTTTTTTATCAGGTCTCAGGTGACCGATTGTAATTAGTCGTGCATCCGTAAATATTTTAACATTTTCAACTTTTTCTCAAAATCTCCTGATCTGATAGACCGTTTCACATTCTAACATTGTATTATCTCCCTTTGAAAAAACTCTCCAGTTAATAAATGAAAACGAGACGCAAGGTGTTGACAACCTGTTTGACAGCTCTCATCCAACAGTACCCTGAGTTGACGTTGTACATCTTAAAGCCGTATTGTGACTTCAACGGAGTAAACATTTCCTTCAATTACATAGGTGTACGACTGGAGTTTTTTGTAATACGAACCCTTCATTTCCACGTTGTCTAACTTTTGTGTCCTCACAACTAAATAGTCATTAAGTTGATGAAAATTACACTCACATAGTCTTCTCAAATCATCGAACCACACATGGCCTTTAGCTGATGCGTAAAGCATGTCATAAGTGATGTCCTTTGAACTTCTATAATCAGCAAAAGGGTCGTTGCCATCTTTTTCAGAATTCACACATATCAGCTCATCAAATAAACGGGACTTCAGAGATACATCTTGCAACCAGCATTTCCTTATTACCTTGTAACCCTACACGATGCTCTTGCAATATATCTTTCAAAACCACAACGCTCAATTTACTGATGTCTTCTATATCAATATCGCGCAGATTTACATTTGAAGCCATGTTGAATGGGAAGTTTTGACACCCTGTGCTTGTTTTCGAATGGAACTCTCCTTACTCCGGGTTCAAAAAGTCAAATAGCCGGGATTGTGAAACTTGACTATTTCAGTGAAATTTTGCTGCAACCTTCCTTGGCCTAAGATGAATCATAATTGTGAATGATACAGTCCCCACCCCACAGGGGCCTGAGGGGCCGGGCCAAAAGGGCTCAAATTAACTTAAATTTCAAATTTCTTCTTCTCAACAACCACATATTGTAGAAGCAAATGCTCTGTATGAATGGAAGCATGGAAAGTACTTTAATTAACAAAATGAATCTTGCATTTCTTCCTGGGAAGGAAGTTTTTTAAAACTTTACTGAAATTTTCATAGAAAAATGCATTTTTGCGCATAACATTGGTTATTTCCCACTGGAAATAAGTTTGTAAAAATTATCAGTGACACTGGCTTACTATAGTTAGTGTCACAATTTCTGTTTCATGACACTTGAAAACTACCCTTTAACCTTTATTAAATATTGCTTATCTCAGGTGACTGTCAAGGTCAAAAGGCCTCTTGTTAATCAAGGGACACAGTTCATTTTAGACAGCTTGTTTGTCTTTATCCAACAGTGAAGAAAAGTTGCAACTTTGATGATTCTGGCCAGGAATCAAAGTGTCTGGACTGAAATAAAATTTTGGATAAGTAAAGATTGTGTACAAGATGACTATTTTAAGATTTTATACCAGAAGTATTTTTGTTGGTTTCAGAATGCTATGATGATGATGATTACCTAGGACATTCAGTGGAGGACAATTATTGTATATCTCCAGGAACAGGTAGGACTGTTTCATATTGTGGACATTGAATAATTAACATAGTTTGAAGACATGATGTAGTTTTGATATATTTTCAGACTGACATTATTATTTACACAAAGATGATTTAAATAATGAAGATATGATTATAGTTGAGGTATTTCAAAATTAATATACTGGTATTTTCAGCTGCCCAATTTACTTTTAATCGTGAGAAGGACTTTGATTTGTCCACATACATGGGAAATGAAAGGATCCCAGAAGAAGAAGAAGGCTTTGACAGTGACACAGACCCTTCATCCCTCAATGACTCTCACGGGTACAAAAAACCAAACCTTAGTGACACAGATCAAGGTAGAGGAAGATACTATTCCTATCTTATTATTCTTTTAGTATGCATAATTAAAAAGAAGGTATAGCTGTATTAACATTTAAATCCCATTACAAAAAAGGGAGTGTACTATAGATGTTACATATTGAAGGGATGTCATGATATAGTATGACTACATGTGAATTGAAAAAAAAATTCATTTAGTTTGTTTTTGCTTTTTTTCAAACAGAGGATTTGGATGTTGGTATGCTACTGTAAAAGATGGTTATTTTTTTTAGGTTTGACTAAAACCACAAAGAATATCTGGTAGATATGTATCTTGAAAATGACCTGTAAAAAGTATATCAGAGTCCATTTCATGACTTCCTATAAAAATACATTAACTTTATTTAAAACTATTGGTAAAATTCTTAAAATTGGACTCATTAAGAGAAGGTGAGAAAGGTCTAGAAGCAAATAAAATCCTCCACAATTATTACCAACTATACAGTAAGCTGGTAAAGATAGTTTATCAGCAACAAATTTTAGGCCAGAGTTTGCTCTAAAGTATACATTTGCTTTTTCAGGAAAGTTGAATTCTTGTTTAGAAGAAATACGGAATATACTTGGAGATAGCACCCCTGACCATGTGTTATGTCAGACCATCATCAAAAATAAGTACGATTTACAAGCCAGTCTCAACGAATTACTTAAATCAGATGGTAGGTACTCAGTGATCTCAACAAATTACATGCATAGTGAAAAACACTTAATGTCATATTGCTTTATGTCACATTTTGGTTAATGTCATGTTGTCTTTTTTTCATACCTGAGACTCCTAAACAACAGAACCGTCTTACCTGTAAGGTCCAACTATGTTCTAGGAAGTCTGGTGCATTTGTAAAGAGTATGTCATATGATGAGAGGTGTCGTGATAAAAACCGTCACAGTTTCATCGGATTTTGACGAAAGTTTGGTAGCATTTATAGGCCTGAGAATATGAAGCAAAGGTTACAATTCAGTAAATTTGTTGTTTTAAATATGAAAATATGCCCATTCACGAAATAATTCATTTTACTTAAAATGTATGTTGTTTCTGAGGTGCTGTGTTATCTTTTCAGAAGCTCCCAAGCCCCAGAGACAGCCAAGACAAAGTCGACGAAACAGATCACAAGGTAAACACCTCTTTACTGCTACAGTACTGTTATTTAGGAGATTGTCTCTATAAGAGGTAGTTGATAGAACAGCTATTAAGGGAAAATAAATACTGACAATAAAGGGTTTGAAAAGTCTGTTGTAGCTTCTTAGATGTTGTTAACTGTGTAAGTAAGATAAAATATGATTCAGAATAATGTACATAGAGAAGATTTATGAAGATTGAAAATAAATGAAATGTGATATCTTATGTATTAAAAGATGCATCTTTATTTTTGAATTTTGCATTTGTTACATCAATACAAATTCAGCACTTAGACTTCACTTATTTCTCATATTTGTCTTGAAAAATGCTTAACTAGTTGCCTTTCTTCTCTTCCCCATGTCCTCTTTCGATGTATCCTTGGCTGCTGGGCTCTCTTTGAATTGTCTTTCCTGGTGCTGGTGTGATTTTCTCCCCATGTGGCTTTTGTAAGGTAAGGCGATGACAATGTTGAAGATGATTTAGATAGCTTTATGGAGTCACTTGAATCTGAATCTCCCCAAAAAACACACTTTCTTTCAAACCAAAATAAAAGTTTAGGAATATTAAAATTTGGTAAACTATCCCCATCTGTTGACAGTCCTATAAACACTGATGTGCAAACAAATAAAACTGATAATGCAACCTCAGAATCAGGTGACTCCTCAATATTTACTAAAGATGTTAAATTTGGTGCATCAGACACTAGTCCTAGGGTTTTAGTTAAGCCTAAACAGCCCAAGGACACTGTCAGCTTGCCAGGTGAAACTGAGGTTGGCAGATTATCATTATCCAACCTAGCAAAACAGCACAGTGTAAGTGCTGTTGGCCATGGGGTTAGCCTAGCTTCCCTAGCAAAACCAAGTGTAAAAGGTCAACAAAAGTTGGGAAATAAAGAGTTGAGTCATTCAGAAAATATTGCTCAGAGGACAAAGGCAAGTCCACAAGTGGGAGGAATCACAGTAAGCGAACAACAGCACAAAGACCGACCCTCATTAACATCTTCACAAGCAGCAGATGGGTTTCAATATGGGTCCAAGTCAGAATTAAAATCTGGGACAAAGCGACCTGTTGGGTTGTCACTCACAGACTTAATAAAGCAGAACAGAATGGATAATAAGGGTGATGTAGTTGCTAAGGATACATCACATGCATCCAGAGTGTCTCTTGCGGACTTGGCAGGTCAAAGGTCACAATCAAATGTAAGTAATATGACAGGAGGTAAAAGTACAAAGGTTTCACTGAGTGATCTTGCTTCAAAATCATCTGGCACAGCAGCACAAAGCCTCGGGCAGACATCCAACAAACATGGCAAATCTCTGGCTGATTTAGCAAGTCAACACAAAGCCTCAATTGTGGGAACAGATTGCATTCCAGCAAAGTCTAAAGCTTCTGCAACAGAGACTGTGATTGGCCAGTTGTCAGGTTTATCTCTTGCAGACCTGGCCAAAAGTCACAAAACCCAGCCACAGAAAGGACCAACAACTGCAAGCAAATCTCTGAGGGACTTGGCACATCAGCAGCTTAAGTCCGCAAAAACTTCATCAGATAAGCAATGTGTAGAGGAAAGTAGGATGTTATTATCAGACAGTGAACAGGCACAGCCAGTTTCACTAGGCCAGAAAACAAGTGATAGAATTGATGAAAATATTTTGAGTCAGAAGTTTTCTGGGTTAATGAATGCAAATGTTGACATTGATTATTACTTGGAAAATGATGCAGATTTCACAAATAGGGTCAAAATGGTTTCACCATCGGTACTTGCAAAATCTATATCGTCATCTTTTGTTTATTCAAAACGAAATGGTACTAAAAAGAGACTGAGATTCCCAAAGTTTTCATACCAAGTTCAAATGAGTACAGTGAAAGAAAATTTAACAAAGGTCAATGAAAACATTGTACCATTTGACTTTTCAACACCATCACCAGATGATATTGTGAAGAAAAAACAGAATTTAGCTTTCACACGCACTGGTAGATAGACCAGCCTTGTCACTTCCATGGTTTTAGTATGTATTCAAATATGTAAATAATTATGGATGGTTACAATAAAATATGTTGAGATTTATAAACCTTCAGAATATTCTAAAAAGCTGGTTATGCTTGCAATAACATAGACATTAATCATCAATAAAACACCAAGATACATTGTATTAAAGATGGCCTACCTTTATAACAAAATTGTACATATAACAGATATGTATTGTATCTTGCAAATGTGGGATACATACCAGATAAGTTACATACCTATTGTAACAATTTACTCTCCATCACCTTGGAAGGGCAGACTGCATTACTTGTATGTACCAAGGTCTGAGATCTGATATTGCTGAGTGGGAAAGGTCATAAAGTATCAACTGAAACTTAGTCTTGTTCATTCTTTTCATCATTCCATTGTCAAACTTTCTTAGGGCAGCCATTTTGTATATTATTTCTTGTTACCCTTTTGAATGGAATGTTTGATATGGTCCTTTGTTTTCGAAACTCAGGTTTACAATCATTCCTTCTGTATACTTATATTTCAGATGCCTTTTGAGATGAATTGCTATACCTCAGTCAGTCATGATTAGCCAACTTTATCCATGAAAACTTTATCCAAAGAATATCTTGGATGAGTTCAAATTAAAGTGTTGATGTCAGGTCAAGGCTGACATTACTGTTCATAGTAAATTATCAACCATTTCAGTGACATCATTCCTTAACCTATTTTTAGCACACTATCATCTGAAAGTGGAATTTTCAAATTGATTTTCCTCTGTTGACCTTCAACTGTCAGTGTGTCTTGTTACACACTATCACTATTTCTTGAAGAGTACTAGATGGATCATTCTTTCATTTCATCTGTATTGGGTACTGTTGTTCAATGGATGTGCATATCAAATTTTTAAGACAAATATGATAAACAAGATTTTGACAGTTACAGTCTCTTTTCACTTTTTAGTTAGATGTAGGTAGGTAAAAATTCATTCCCCTTGGTCCCAATAGTTATGTGTACCAGGTATTTAATTTTTAAAAAACTGGTTGGAAAATCATTATGGCCTGCAGGTGTCAATCTTGGATTTTTATATTGATAAATTCATTGTAATTTCGTGAGAAGCACAAGATTGATCATTCTCAAAGTTCATTGGTAGATTTTATTTGAACCATAGTTTAGTAGGTTAGATTTTTTAAGCTGATCAGAAAAAGAAAAAAAAAACTATACTGCTGCCATCTTGGATTGACATTTTGAAGTTTGTTTTTGCTGTTTATTGAAAAGTATGGCAATTATCTAAAAAAATTCATAGGCAGTTTCCTCTTGGTAACTTGTTATGTATGATTAGTTTTGGAGGAAATAACCAGACTAAGTGGCATCCATCCTTTGAAAAGTTGGAAGTATATATTAAGATATTTCTTTGAAAGGCTTTAATCGATCCTTCAAAGTTATATAAAAACCTTTTTGTCTTTTTGATACATGCTCAATGTTTTAGACTGATTGGTAAAAAAAAAATACTTACAGGTCCATGTCGCCGCCTTTTATTTATTTTTACTATTGCTATTTATCAGAATGCATTTACAGGACCTGGAATTTCAAATATAGGGTTTAGTGCCTTATTACCTATGCTTAGTTTTGAGACTGATTGGAAAAGTAAAATGGCTGATATGTGGCCATCTTGGATTTATTTATTCTCCCTTTTATTTTGTTTTTTGCTGAGTACTTGATGAATTGACAGGCCTGTCCTTAATTTCTAGGTATCTTTAAATTTGTGAATGATCTGAAAAATAAGATGGTCAGTAGTTGGATATTTTAGATAAGGAAGACTTGATGATTGTTTGTATACTCTTTTGAAGATTTCATTTACAATATAGGTTTAATTTGTTTGTCAGTTGTACATTTCACCATATGATTTATCTGGAGGAAATTGAATTAAGAGAAAAGACAAGAAATAGATCCAACTTATCAAGACCTAATAAACATCATAATGGTGAACGTCATGTTCATTCTGAAATATCTTTTAAATGGAAATTGGTTGTTCTCTTTCAAACATTAATTGTGAAAATGAATTGTTATGGTAACTAGTATTTCACAAAAGTGTGTCACACAATAATGAATAGCAAGGGTAGTTTCTAGTGGGGGGGGGGGGGGGGGGGGGGGGGGGGGGGGTTATTTTGACTTTTTATTAATTGTCATCGTGAGGTTGAGTAAGCATAAGTCATCAGTTTTCAAGAAAATTATACTGATCTGAATGTCTTCAAGAACCATTGTGTAATAGAATTTATGTGCTGTGGAAGATTGTTAAACCATTTGGGCTCAGAAATTGTCAAGGAAACTAGAAAAAACAAACAAACAATAAACGAAACTGGTGTGACCTTCCCAACCCTTATGGGGCTAAAGAACATGATGTTAAAAATACTTCTGTTTGATGTGGAGTATGCTAAGAGAGTTGTACAAAAGGAAAAATCTTTTAACATCCATTTGATAATAAATTCAATGATTCTGTCTGAACATTTATTTCATTTATCAGACAATTACCATGTGGTACAGTTACAGATGTAACAAGACTGACCAGTAACCCTATGAAAGATAGCGTCATGTCCATTTGAATCATTTCTACATTGTATATAAATATTTTGTAACTTTTTCATATTATTTTTCTAAGACAGTAAATCTGAATAAATTTGAATGGGTTGATTTTTTAAGATGTTATTTTGTCTGAAGTATTGTACAAGGTCTTTACAACAAGGAATTAATAATAAAGGTGATTCTTAAATTCTGGTACTAACAACACAGTGTACTACTTACATCAAGACATTGACATCAGAAGGTAACACTCAATACAGAGTACTACTTACATCAATACAGTGACATCAGAAGGTGACACTCAACACAAAACATTGACATCAGAAGGTGACACTCAACACAAAACATTGACATCAGAAGGTGACACTCAACACAAAACATTGACATCAGAAGGTGACACTCAAAACAGTGTACTACTTACATCAAAACATTGACATCAGAAGGTGACACTCAACACAGTGTACTACTTACATCAATACATTGACATCAGAAGGTGACACTCAACACAGTGTACTACTTACATCAAAACATTGACATCAGAAGGTGACACTCAACACAGTGTACTACTTACATCAAAACTTTGACATCAGAAGGTGACACTCAACACAGTGTACTACTTACATCAAAACATTGACATCAGAAGGTGACACTCAACACAGTGTACTACTTACATCAAAACATACATGACATCAGAAGGTGACACTCAACACAGTGTACTACTTACATCAAAACTTTGACATCAGAAGGTGACACTCAACACAGTGTACTACTTACATCAAAACATTGACATCAGAAGGTGACACTCAACACAGTGTACTACTTACATCAAAACATTGACATCAGAAGGTGACACTCAACACAGTGTACTGCTTACATCAAAACATTGACATCAGAGGGTGACACTCAACACAGTGTACTACTTACATCAAAACATTGACATCAGAAGGTGCCACTCAACACAGTGTACTGCATACATCAAAACATTGACATCAGAAGGTGACACTCAACACAGTGTACTACTTACATCAAAACATTGACATCAGAAGGTGACACTCAACACAGTGTACTACTTACATCAAAACTTTGACATCAGAGGGTGACACTCAACACAGTGTACTAGTTACATCAAAACATTGACATCAGAAGGTGACACTCAACACAGTGTACTACTTACATCAAAACATTGACATCAGAAGGTGACACTCAACACAGTTACTACTTACATCAAAACACTGACATCAGAAGATGACACTCAACACAGTCTACTACTTACATCAAAACATTGACATCAGAAGGTGACACTCAACACAGTGTACTACTTACATCAAAACTTTGACATCAGAAGGTGACACTCAACACAGTGTACTACTTACATCAAAACATTGACATCAGAAGGTGACACTCAACACAGTGTACTGCATACATCAAAACATTGACATCAGAAGGTGACACTCAACACAGTGTACTGCTTACATCAAAACATTGACATCAGAAGGTGACACTCAAACCCAGTGTACTACTTACACCAAAACTTTGACATCAAAAGATGACACTCAACAGAGTGTACTTCATACATCAAAACATTGACATCAGAAGGTGACACTCAACACAGTGTACTACTTACATCAAAACACTGACATCAGAAGATGACACTCAACACAGTGTACTACTTACATCAAAATATTGACATCAGAAGGTGACACTCAACACAGTGTACTATTTACATCAAAACTTTGACATCAGAAGGTGACACTCAACACAGTGTACTACTTACATCAAAACATTGACATCAGAAGGTGACACTCAACACAGTGTACTGCATACATCAAAACATTGACATCAGAAGGTGACACTCAACACAGTGTACTGCTTACATCAAAACATTGACATCAGAAGGTGACACTCAACACAGTGTACTACTTACATCAAAACTTTGACATCAGAAGGTGACACTCAACACAGTGTACTACTTACATCAAAACATTGACATCAGAAGGTGACACTCAACACAGTGTACTACTTACATCAAAACTTTGACATCAGAAGGTGACACTCAACACAGTGTACTAGTTACATCAAAACATTGACATCAGAAGGTGACACTCAACACAGTGTACTACTTACACCAAAACATTGACATCAGAAGGTGACACTCAACACAGTGTACTACTTACATCAAAACTTTGACATCAGAAGGTGACACTCAACACAGTGTACTAGTTACATCAAAACATTGACATCAGAAGGTGACACTCAACACAGTGTACTACTTACATCAAAACTTTGACATCAGAAGGTGACACTCAACACAGTGTACTACTTACATCAAAACTTTGACATCAGAAGGTGACAACACAGTGTACTAGTTACATCAAAACATTGACATCAGAAGGTTGACTGAAATACTTCACACAGTACTATGTACCAAAAAGCATTGACTCGCAAAGAAGAAATTGAAATACTGCACCTGCAGCATGCTGAGTTGAAGTGCTATCAAGTGTGTACAAATGAATCTCCTTTAAAGTTTTCAATGACATCTTCTCAATAACCAAAAAGCCCAGGAAGCTGATATTTTGCCAGTAATATACTTGGATCAATGAACTACCTTGACCCAATTTTAAGGTCACAGAAGTCAAAGGTGTTTAAATTTTGAAGCAGTTACCTATCAATTACTAAGAGACCTGGTATGTTGATATTGGGCTGAAATGCTGAAATGAAGAGCTTCCAAGTTTGTTCAAATAGGTGACCTTGATCCACTTTAACTATTACAGCGGTCAAATATGTTAAAATCTTCAAATGACTTCTTAGTAAGCAAAAGCTTTAGGGTGCTGATATTGGACATGTAGCATGCCAGAATGACAGGCTACCACAATTGTTCAAATGAATGAAATTGACCTACTTTCAAGGTTAATTGTCAGATGTGCTGAAATCTTTAAACAACTTGTTCTGAATAACCAAAAGGCCAAGAGCTGATATTAAGCATGTAGCATGCTTGAATGTAGATCTACCAAGTTTATTCAACTGGATGATTTTGACCTAGTTTCAAGATCACAAGGGTCATGTGTGATGAGAAGTTGAAAATTCTTCTTAGCAATAGGTCCAGGTTCATGATATTTGTATAGTAGCTTGTTTGAGGAAAAGGATTTCAAATTTGCAGAAATTGAATTATAAATGGACGAAGTCTTCTGTGTAAGCAGTAGAACAGGTGAGTAATTCAGGCCCATTGAGCCTCTTGTATTGATTTTCTGCAGAAATATTCTGTAGCTGAACTGTTTGATTATTTAATAACAGTTCCTACTAATACTACTGCCATTTTATCATATTATGCTTAGATTTTTAGTCAGATAATTGTAAACGTCCAAGAGCCTTGTGTATTGCAAAACTGGTACATTTGTGCTAGTTATGAACAACTGAGCAAATTTTGACAAAACATTTTGTCACAAGCATCCTCTTGGAAAATGAACTCAGTTCCTCATAAATGGTTGGTCTTAGGACCTGATGGACAGTGTCCAAATAGGGGAAATAGAACAAATTCTGTTTAATCTGTCTTCTTCTAAAAGAATATCCAATTCAAACAGAAGCATCCTTTGATGAAGGGGATTTAATTTTGTATAATATGGAGTGGAAGGGGCAGGGCCAAATATGAGAAATAGTACATATTCTTTAAAATTCTTAGTCTTCTGTAGGAATATTAGGATTATGTCCAGATTTTGTCTGAAGCATTGATGGATGGAGTAGATTCAATTTTGCATGAAATGGGATGGCAGGGGCAGGGCTAAATAGAACAATAAAAACAAATTCTTCAAAATCCTCCTCCATTTATAGAAATATTAGGATTTTATCCAAATTGGATTTGAAACATCCTCGGATGAAGGGGATTCAATTTTGTTTCAGATAGATTGAAAAGGGCAAGGCATATTAGGGTTTTGGTCTGAAGCATCCTTGGGTAGAGATTTAGTTCTGTACAAATGGTGGGCCCTGCCTTCTGAGATGGGAGGGACAGGAACAAAAAATAGAACAGGTTTTTATCTAGATTTCGGTGTCATTGAGTATTTTTGAAGGTAATATGTTTGTTTTATTTCTAGATTTTGCACCCAACCCTCCAACAGTAGAACTGAAGACACCCGGGAAGAAACAGACATCACCAATAAAGCCAGATGAGGATACAGCAACTGCTGTTTCTCAGATCAGAATAAACAGTAGTAAAGAGCCATTGCGTGGGTTTGAGCCCAGTTTGCCTGAAGCTGCGGCCAAGCCTGCAAAGGGAAGTGTTGATCCAGATCTTAAAACTATTGACCATAAGGACATATGTGATGGAGTCCCACCCCCTAAAGTTGCAGAGTCTGCAGGAAGTAGTTCAGATAAAACACCTTTACAAACCCCTAAGAAAGAGGCATCAACACCTCAGGTGGCAAAAAGTGCATCAAAGTAAGTGAAGTATATATAGCTATGTGGTATACCCCTCTCAGTGTAATATGGACTGGTAATTCTAGTATGTAAACCACAGAACCTGTTAGAGGGCCACAGTTACACAGTTGCCCATATGAACTAATTTTCTAGTTGAACCTATACCAAAGTACTCAATCAGAAGACTACAGTTAGGCATGCATCCTCTTAATGTAATGTTGACCTTATTCCTGGTTGTTCTTGAACATAAACCAAAATACCTGTCAGATGACAACAGTAAGGTATATATGCATCCTCTTAACATAATGTTGACCAATTTTCTGTTAGTTCCTGAAAGTACACCAAGTACCTGTCAGAATATCCATCTTCTCAGTGAATTATTATTTTTATCATTTGTCTGGTGATTCTAACCTGTGTGAACATCAAAATACCTGTCAGTAGCTGGCCCGAAATGACTCTTATTGATGATGGTTTGTAAAACATTACAAAAACATAACAAAAACATAACAAAACAAAAAAAGATCAGTAGACTACCTCCTCTGAGTGGTCCCTATAGTAACTCTTACCTTTGTTAACTTGTCTCCTGGCCCCACTTGTATAAAACATCTCAACTTGAGATTTCCTCAAGTCGAGATTTGCCTCAGCTGATATCTCCTCAAAAACGGCTTGTATAAAATTTTCTCAAGGAAGAGGAGGAAGTCATCGGCTAGGATGTCTTGAAATTCCTTGAGGAATTTTCATACAAGATATTTTCAAGGAGATATTAGCTGAGGAAAATCTGGGCTTGAGGAAATCTCAAGTTGAGATGTTTTATACAAGTGGGGCCTGGTATCTTATGTTTCATACCTTTATATACATAGTCCAAGGATTCTCTTAATAAATATGTCAAAATACAACATTAACATCAATGCCCAATTAGAATATAAAATATTCTTTCACATTTATCCTAAAATTGTATGCTTTATTCTATTTTCAGGTCAAAACATGATAAGGCAAGACTAAAAGAAGAATATGACAAAAGACAGGGTGACAAAGAGCTTCTCAACATGGTTGTTATAGGTAACTTAGATTATCATCTGTAAGGTTTTCATTGGTGTCATGAAATAGACTTCATTGGTTGCTATTGGTTACTTAGTAGATAATCATTAAGAGTTAAAAGAATTATTAATATTACATATTTCATTGAGTTGTCTTCTTTATTGATATTTGTATAACTTTCATATTCTTGACGAATGATCACCTGAAATTTCAGATACATGCCTTTGTCTTATCCAATATGTAAATACATGTACTGTCTACAAATTCCATTATGGTGTGTACTTTTCCTCACAGGTCATGTAGATGCTGGGAAGAGTACCCTGATGGGACATTTGTTGTTCCAGCTTGGAATGGTGAACAAAAAGGCCATGCACAAGTTTGAGCAAGAGTCAAAGAAAGTTGGCAAGGGATCTTTTGCCTTTGCCTGGGTGCTAGATGAGACAGAGGAAGAAAGGTTGGTCATTTTCCATAAGATGCTTGCATGGGAGGGCTCTTTATTAATAGTTTTACACCCACTTGTTACCATTTAAAAGGAGAGTACAGAGTTTTTACAAAGGAATGTTTTTGGTCATTAGTGATTCTCTGAAGTGATTTTGATGTTTAACTTTTTTGCATTAATCTCCAAAATTTCACTGATTAATAGCTAACAAGTTTTGCTGTATGAATTGGATATTATTTGTTGATGAGTTACTGTTACCATTAAAAAACAGTTTAATGACATGTTTTATGCAGTCACGTTGGCAAAATCCTCGTAAGATGATATCTAGATGTAGTATGATAGAAGTCATATTCATGTAACAGTAAACAGAGTGTCACCAGAAGTGGTTAGATTTAGTGTCTGATATATATTGCTAAACATTGTATATTTAATCTTGTTATTTACATTAACTTCTTGTGGTCTTTTTTTAACAGGCACTAGTTTCTGTCAACATTATAGTTACATATAGTCCCTTTCCCAGTGTTGATTCTTTGACATTCTGTTTGACAATCATCAATTTTAATGTTGACAAAAAGAACAGTAAACAAAATTTATTTTATATTGTTCAGATCTCGTGGCGTTACTATGGATATTGCTCAAACAAAATTTGAAACACCAAAGAAAGCAGTGACACTATTGGATGCTCCAGGACACAAAGACTTTATTCCTAATATGATAACAGGTAAAGTGAAATAGATGTTCATTCATAGGTAACATGAATCATGTTCAGTCACAAGTAAAGTAAAACAGATGTTCATTCACAAGTAAAGTAAAACAGATGTTCAGTCACAAGTAAAGTTTAATAGCTGTTTAGTCACAAGTAAAATTTAACAGTTGTTCAGTCACAAGTAAAGTAAAACAGATGTTCAGTCACAAGTAAAGTTTAATAGCTGTTTAGTCACAAGTTAAATTTAACAGCTGTTCAGTCACATATAACGTAAAACAGCTGTTCAGTCACAAGTAAAGTAAAACAGATTTTTAGTCCTAAGTAAAGTGAAACAGATGATCAGTCACAAGTTAAGTGTAATGGCTGTTCAGTCACAAGTAAAGTAAAACAGATGTTCAGTCACAAGTAAAGTTTAATAGCTGTTTAGTCACAAGTAAAATTTAACAGCTGTTCAGTCACAAGTAAAGTAAAACAGATGTTCAGTCACAAGTAAAGTTTAATAGCTGTTTAGTCACAAGTTAAATTTAACAGCTGTTCAGTCACATATAACGTAAAACAGCTGTTCAGTCACAAGTAAAGTAAACTGATGTTCATTCACAAGTAAAGTGTAATGGCTGTTCAGTCACAAGTAAAGTAAAACAGATGTTCAGTCACATGTAAAGTGAAACAGATGTTCAGTCACAAGTAAAGTGTAATGGGTGTTCAGTCACATGTAAAGTGAAACAGATAGTCACAAGTAAAGTGAAACAGATGTTCAGTCACAAGTAAAGTAAAACAGATGTTCGGTCACTAGTAAAGTGTAATGGCTGTTCAGTCACAAATAAAGTAAAACAGCTGTTCAGTCTCAAGTAAAGTGTAACGGCTGTTCAGTCACAAGTAAAGTGTAATGGTTGTTCAGTCACAAGTAAAATTTAACAGCTGTTCAGTCACAAGTAAAGTGAAACAGATGTTCAGTCACAAGTAAAGTGAAACAGATGTTCAGTCACAAGTAAAGTAAAACAGATGTTCAGTCACAAGTTAAGTAAAACAGCTGTTCAGTCACAAGTAAAGTGTAATGGTTGTTCAGTCGCAAGTAAATTGAATTAGCTGTTCAATCTGAAATAATGTCAAACAGCTGTTCAGTAACAAAAATGTAGTAAATTACCTACAAACATTAAAAGTTTCACTCTGATGAAATTTCAATGAAAGAAAAAATCAAGAAGGAACATGTGTTAGTAACACTTTGGTTGTACTATAAAAAAATAGAGATCAAACATTAACATTGATCTAGTTCATCAGACATGAAACTCAATATTGAGGTTTATTGCCACTAAAGCAGATCTGAGCATAATAATTTGTAGATACATAATACCTTTAGTGAAATTTCTTTCTCTGTTATGTGTTTTCACAGGTACTGCCCAGGCAGATGTTGGTATCCTAGTGGTCAATGCCACACGTGGCGAGTTTGAAACAGGCTTTGAGGCTGGAGGTCAGACAAGAGAACATGCCCTTCTGGCAAGATCTCTTGGTAAGTAAATGTCCCTAAGCAGCTTACAGATTATATCTTTTTAACTTCATTAAGTTGAAAGTTTGAAAATAAATCAACATTATCCATATTCACTGTCACAGTGATCAGAAACGAGAGATCAAGAGTCAAGATAATGAGCAAATTGGCAATGTTTGAATAAAGTTCTGCAAGGTTTGCAGAAAGAAGTGACCTTGACCTATAGTCAAGGTTACCACGATCAAATTAGTTCAAACTCTTAAATGAATTTTGGTGATAAATTGAAAGCATGGGTTCATCATGTGTAGTTGGATGAGTTGCTTGTGTACGTTTTTGTAACCAAAAGCACAACACAAATAAACTCTGACCATCCTTGAGTGTCCCATAGGTAAAAATGGTTGTTCGCTTATTATTGTGTTTTATTTTTCTTCATTATTTGATTGTTTCATTTATGAATTACTTTCTTGTTTACTGTTATATATTTAAACTTAAGGTTTTGTTTACAGGTGTTTCACAATTGATTGTGGCTGTGAACAAGATGGACACAGTCAAGTGGGCACAAGACAGGTACGATGAAGTCACAAAAAAGTTAGGTTCCTTCCTGAAGACAGCAGGATATCGAGACTCGGACATCTCATTCATTCCCTGTAGTGGACTAAGTGGAGAGAACCTGGCAAAATCTGTGTCTGAGCCTGAGCTGTCTTCGTGGTACAGGGGTAGCACGCTTGTAGAACAGATAGGTCAGTCAGTGTCCTGTATCATCTCAATTCATATCTTTACCTACTTGAAATATTTCTGCTGATTCTGCAGTAAAATATATTTTAACTTCCCTTTTCTTTGTCATTCCATGCTTATAATAATCCTGATTATTAATGATATGATTTAATTTAAAGAAAAACACTTGTCAGAATCATTATGTCTCTGCTTGTTAAAAAGCTTTTTTCTGGATGTTTAATATATTATTTTTTCACCCCACATTTAGTGAAGAAGATGGGTGTTGATTTAGTAATCACTCTGTCTGTCTGTATAATCCTTGTATACAAGACATTTTAAGAACCCATCGACAGATTTAGTTCATATACCATAACATTATATCATTAAGTTCCACAGCTTTTTAGCTTTTAGCCATCAGTGGTCAAGGTTAAAAGTGTTACTCTGACCACTTTTGAAATAAATATTTTGTAAGAGATGTCTCATGATCCCCTCAACAGATTTAGTTAAATAAAAAAACTTTCGGAGAGAGAGGGTACATTTAAGTGAGCTCCTGGTCAGTTTGTTTTTATAAGTGGGTTATGTATTGATAAACTGTAATTTGATTTTGAATGTTTTTGTTTCACTGCAGATAAATTCAAAACAGTGACTCGCCAGTTAGACAAACCACTGCGTCTGACAGTGGGAGATGTGTTCAAAGGAATGGGGGCAGGGTTCAGTGTGACTGGCAGAGTGGGGGCAGGATCAGTACAAACAGGTGACAAGGTGCAAATCATGCCATATGGGGAAACAGCCACAGTCAAAGGTAGGTCAATACAAGGAATATTTTGTTAATCAGTTTTAAATAATGCATTTTAATTTTTTTTCTTTATCTGAACACAACATAGAAATCTGTAAACATTTCACTGTGAAACCCAGAATTAATTTTAAAATTTAAGATATTGAGTGGTAATGCTGGAAGTGAAAAATAAAAGTAAAAATTATCCAATTCAAGAAAGAAAAAACCATGAAAATTTGATCCTTGAAAATTAAAGTTCCCCGAGTTGGCAAATATCAATAAATAATTCTTTAAAAAAAGATTCAGTGGTCTAAGATATACACAATCCTGATCAATCCACTACCCCAGTACACTGTAGACGAGAAACTGACATGATTTACTACCAGATATATCAGACTGTCTAGTGTCTGTTACAGGGATCATGTTAGGTGAGCTGTCAGCCATGTGTGCATTTGCAGGGGACCATGTAACCTTGACCTTGACAGGAATAGACATGACAAATGTCAGCTTAGGTTTGTACCTTATCTGTTTCCTCTGGTAGCTATTTTCTTTATAGGAACAGAACCGATTTGTTAAAACTGTATCCAACTAGTAGGCAAGTGGTGTTTGATTATGAATTGGCTGGATTTTATTTTTGAAGGGAGAGATAATATAAAACTATCTTTTGTTCTCATTTCAGTTTGATAGGCAGATCTAGCTTTATTATGAGGAGAAACTCTTTTCTTTCTTAATGTTAAAATCCAATTCATTCAGTCTCTTTGTTGATTAGTGAGTTGGTAGAGTTAATATTGCTTACCAGGATGTACATATATATGTATATGTTATTGTTGATAGGGAGTGTTGTCTGTGACCCTGCCAATCCAATCCATTGTGCCACTAGGATCCGAGCTAGGGTGGTGCTATTCAATCTTGGAATTCCTGTGACTAAAGGATTCATGGTAAGATGTTTTCATCATAAGGGATTCATGGTAACATGACATTTTTTAGATATCTGACAGAAGGAATAGCAGAAAGATAATCCATTTCACCTTACTTCTCCTTTCCCAGATTGAATTATCCCGTTCTACAGGAATTCCTTTTCCACAATGAAGAGTATAGAAAGCTAGCCACATGTAAATCTGTTAACACTTCACTACTTGTAACCTTTGATATGTAAAAGTGGAATCATATGCTAAGTCTACTGCTTCATTAGAAAGATGTACTCTTTTCAGAAGCATCAAAACATTATTTTGTTGGCGGCATGATCACTTTTACCAGGGAGATATAGTCTTGCACCTGGCCAAATTACAATACTTTTTTTTTTAATGGATAATTCTCACACATTCCACATATCATGTTTACAAAATTTAAGATTAAGAACCATATTTCTGTGATTGAGATTGTTCTGTCTTACTGGGAAAAACTGTCAAAGTGGTGACTTTCAGACACAAATACCTGTCTGATTAAATATTAGTTTTATTTCATTTTTCAAATTCATGAATATTGTTTGACTTACAGGTTGTGTTCCATTACCAGTCAATCACTGAACCAGCTGTCATCAAAAGACTTGTCAGTCAGCTTAATAAAAGCTCAGGAGAGGTGGTGAAGACCAGACCTAAGTAAGTCATTGTCACCAGAGTTCTGCTTTAGGAGCAATACCTGGTTTTTATTCAGCTAACTTGTTGCTAATTCATGATTTCCTCCATAAGGTTTGTATTCAGCAATGTCTATAATGGAAATAGTTGTTAATTCACATTTACTCCAGATGACTTGTGTTCTTCAGCTGTGTCTATAATGGTAACTACAGCTTTAAAAGTTGACTGTAAAGGTTATTCTGAAGTGGTTCTATTTTGAGCTATTTTTTGGAAATAGGATTGCAATGAAAAGATACATTTAAAACATTTTATTCCTCGAAAAATACCTCCTTTTCCCAACAAATGTAGGTTAACCTGCAAAAATTATAACCATAGGAAAAACAACTTTACAGTAATGTTCCCTGTTGTGCTAAAATTTTCTTTGGCAAGATTCTTTTAAGGTCAATGTCTATGCAATAATTTATATATAGTCAAGTTGAAATTCATTTGTGAAATATACAAGTCAAAGTAATACACTAAATTGAAAATCAGTCTTATTTGGTACCTATACTAGGAAACGACTAGGACTTAAAGAAAAAACTATCAGTTTATCACACACTTCAGTTAAATGTACCATTTAGATTTATTTCTCTGTCAATAATTGATAACAGATTATTTTTGTTTCCTTTATTTCAAATTTAGGATTTGATTTTATGAAATTAAATTATGCCTGTAGTATTAATCATTCATATGATTATGCAGAACTTCATTTCCATCAAAACTTTTAGAACATAGGCTTCACAAATGTTATCTTAGGGGTATTGTTGGAAGGTAGACATTCAATGATTTCCTCTAACTTCAGATGTTTAACTAAGAATACTAGTGCTGTGATAGAGATTGAATTTGAACGACCAGTCTGCCTGGAGCTGTATAAAGATTTTAAAGACCTAGGCAGATTTATGTTACGGTACAGTGGTTCTACAATAGCAGCAGGATTGGTAGAGGAGGTAAGAAAACATCCTTGTTATTTACATATAGAAATAGGTGTCATGGTTACCATGATTGCTGTAGTGCTGAATGACTATCACGACAAGTGCATTCAAGCATTAGCTTCCGACCACTTGAACACAAGTTTGAGACTGGGTTAGATATTTTCATATGTATGGCAATGTGGTTATTCAACAACATATATTCTCTTAGTTATGTTGTAGGAAAGAAATCCTAAGAGCACATTTCTGGAACTTGCAGATGAATTTTTCAAGTATTTGTCTAACTTTGAGGATTGGTTATGAAGTAATTTAGGTTTTGAAGAGAGTAATATGTATATATCTGAGAATTTATTTTGTAATTAGATATTCTGTGTTAGAAATTATTCTTCACTTCTGCGGTGCACATAAGTGTTCTATATATGATTGACTGATTGATTTATTCCAACAAATTGGAAAATCTAGATGTGAAGCAGTCATTTTTTGTAGATTGATTAATAACATACTTATAATTACTTATATTTTACTATTGTAGATCTTGAAGAGCAAAACTAAAACAGAAGACTCGCAGGGGGCTACAGCATACTGACATCAAGGAAAGTAGCCTCTGAATTTATGTTTTCCTTCAATATTTGGAAACTTTCATCTACCAAACACATGGTGTGTATTGAAACTGTGGACCTGTTTGAAACTTGGATTCATAGAATTTTACACCATGTATGTGTTCAAATGAAACCTTGGCTTAATGTGGTATCATACTCATAACACATCTCAGATTCAAAGGAAGCTGAAGTGATGTGCAGATACCACTGGTTACTGTGTGACCAAATACCATTGAATGTTATATGGTAATGGTGTAGGAATGATATGACATGGGGCGAAAGCATAATGGCCTTGAAAATGGATATAAAACAGGAAGAAGTTTTGGATCTGGACTTGTACAATATATTGTATACAGGTTTTGTTTGTTATAAAGATGTTTATGTAGAAACCTACATATTCATGCTGTGTTATCCCATCAGTATTGATAATCTGTAATGGTAATGAATTTGAATGGAATGTTTACTGTTGTATTCACACAGAACCATCAAACAACAAATTTTGAGAAAATTAAACAAAGACCAAGGATAATGGCAGACAAGATTGCCTGTTAATATGTGGGTTTTACCTCAGTTTGTACTGTACAAGGGTAGGTGCAGAGAACTTGTTAAACATGCTTAAGAATGATTGGAGTTGTTTAATCTATCATGTGTGTTGTGTGTTTTTACAATAACTTTGTATAGTTGTATTTAAGGCTGAATCATTTACCCATTTCCAGAAAGTCAGCAATATCATATATGGATGAGCATGCTGCAGTTTCACTTAGCAGTTTTACCTTTTTTGTTTTCTTCTTTCTTTCTGCAATAAATGTCTGCCATTAAACTAAATGTAGCAAAGTTTGATTTCAAAATCAGTTCATTTGATTTTACTGGATTACAGGAAACAACATTCATATGAATCTGTGGTGAAAGAATTTACTGAAGAGTGCAATAACAATATAGCATTTTATTTACTTGTCTTGAGGTATGTTATGGAAGTGTTGCTGTTTGTTCAGCTAGAATCATGATTGTGTCATGTTAGATCTGTAACAGACAGTGCATCAATATATGCAAAGTGAAGTGGTTTTTTCCAAATGCTTATGAACAAGGCTTACTACAGAAAGAGATCACGGTAAAAGCTATTGGTAATTCATGTCTTGCCAATGTCACCTCATTTACCATCAACATAATCTGATGTCTGATCTTGATTTTTTTTGCCTCCCTTAAGAAAATCCCTTTTCTAAAGCATAACTTTGCTTTACACCCGTCAATATAGCAATGTTCAACTGTACACAAACTTGCTGTTAAAATCTACATGCCACAGTACAGTTATGTTTAAGCCGAGCAGTTTAGAGAATAATTGCAAATGATTTCATGTGCATTTGTTATATCATGTTAGATATTAAACTGAAATTTTTTTTTGTGGGACATTTTGTGTATGAGCTTCAAACTTTATAAAACATGCAAGAAAATGCTGTCAGTAAGGGATTTACAAACATTTGTAAAATATGGCTGGTTTCTTGTCCTTTAATTATACCTCATTTTGGACAGCCAACAGTTCTCTCTGTGATGCTGATTTTGCATGGAGTACCTGCAAGTTAATAAAGGTGTGGAGGAAGAATTGTGTTATCACTTGATTAATTCTGTAATAAAGAATTTTTTTGCTTTACAGAAGAATTTGGACCATATTTGGTCTGGAACACCACAAAGTGATGGATACAATTTATATAAATAGAGGGTCTCCCTCAACTATTTCTACTCACTACAGAGGCAAATAAATAGGACTAAGAAAATAGAATAGTGATGAATGATTAAAAGTGTTTAAATCTGTATTCATTCCACTAAACAGGATTTTGAAAAAGTTTTCATTTCAAATGGGATTTTATGAAACAAGTCTTAGAGGTTTTTTTTTGCTTGCCTTTATCACATGACTCCGAAAATGTACATTTGGACAAATTTTAAAATAAATATGAAAATGTGGAGAACAAAATCAAATGAAGGCAGCCATTTTGTTGGACAATTTTCAATACATGACATAATCTCATTGTCAATAATACATGTAGAAGATATTATGACATCACAATTGATTTATGACTGGCGCATTTAATGAAAAACACTTTACAGTATATTTAGTGACTATGCAAAATGTTACATGGCCAAATTCACTGGACAACAGACTGTATGAGATAAATAAAGGGCTATGGTAGCTTAGTTGGTAAAGCAGTGGGCTAATATATACAACCTATAGTGAAGACTCAAGCTTTTGGGATTCAATTCCTATACCAGGCACTACAACGATACCTGTCTCAAAATGATCAAGCTGGCAATTCACAGGACAATAAACTGTGCAAATGATCAAATGTAAGAAGAGATTTGAACCAATTTGGTTTACAGCAACAATGAGTGAAAGAGTATTTTGCATCTAAAAGACAAATCAAATGAAATAATGACCTCTTGATACTTCTCATCAATTCTACCTTGAAGGTCTTCCACTCTAATTCATAAGGTAGTCAACTCAAAATTCTCAAAAACAAAATGAACATTTTATTCACACTAAGAATTTGCTATAAATTCAAAATGTTGTACATGACATTTGGATGGTAATTAAGATTTGTAACTTGTATAACCCACCTTCCCTCCATTTGTTTTCATGTACAAAACGTGTATTACTACATGCATAACATTTAATTAAATAGAAAATACCATATTACATAAAATTCTTATTTGTTCCATCTCTATTCAAGCAATGCAAAATATCAATACAAGGCTAAACGGATGAGAACAAAACTTCAGAAATCAAGATTGAATGCAACAATAGGGCAATCATACACGAGCATGGGCTAATTAACACTGGCCTAAAAGCAGGATGTCACGTTAGTAAATAAGCTTTCAGATTTATCACAATAAATTCTTCTAACTATAATCCAAATATACAATTGCCAAGATGTTACGTGTTTAATCAAGTTTAATTACATTTTATCTTTAAAATTGCTCTGCACAATTTGTGCAAAATGGTTGAAATTTCCGTGACAAAAACTTTGTTTAAATTTACAATATCACTGAAATCATTGACATCAAACTACTACAAAATATCAGGTTTCAACTCCGTTGGAGAACAGATCAGAGGAAAAGAAAAAAAAATTAATACTCATATTTACATATTAAAAAAGTGAATTATTTGAACAATATGTTTAACAAAGGTGATAAGCAACAAGACTTCAACCAAATAGCACTGAACACAAATAAGGTGAACTCTATTCACGTGTACATCATTTCAGCCATGCTTGACATCTTTTTAGGGATGTAAACAAAATCTTCAAAATAGCCTGCTAATTCATTTACAGTCATATCATCAAGTCTTGCTTCCTGTGAACATGATCTCTCTAAGACTTGATCTTGACTAGCCTTGCTGACCACAGATTCCACTGACCTGCCAGGGGCAGATCTGGTCTTAGAATGGCGTGCGGTCTTGGCTTTCGGACTACAGGAAGAACCAGGAGAGTTACTATTGGAATCAATGTCACGAGAATGTTTTCTACCACCTGATGTATTTTGTCGATGATCAACACCAAATAAAGCAATAGACTCATTTGTCTCTGTTTTCTTAGAAGAGATACACATACTAGAAAAATCACTAAGAACCCTTTTTGTACCTGATCCAAATACAGAGCTGTCAGAAAAATTGTTGTTAGAATGAGAAAGTTTCATAACATTTAACCCAGTTGGATCACTCTTTCTATCCTTCTTAATCAGTTTGAGTCTAGCTGACCTAATGATATGCTTTCTGTCTTTCTCTGAGTGATGCAGTTTAAGTCTTGCCTCTCGAATTAAACGACGAGGTGATCCTGAGATGTTGGCATAGTTGTACTTGTTTCGGTTTTCCAAATCACCATGATTTGATGAGCAACGACAATGTTTAGAATTACACTCCTCCTTTTTCAAGGTCATCTTCTGCATGGAAAAAATTACTTCTTGAGGGTATGGCTCCATCCTGCTGCTGCTTTTCTTGTACTTTTGATGGCTTTTATCGCTACTCTTGGTTGACCCTTTCTGCTGACCACCACTGTCCCTATAAAGCATTCAATGTTTCAGAAATGATTTAAACCAGTGTTGCGAGTTGAAATCACCTGTATCATGTAATACTTCATACTATACATATCCTGAAAACAAAGCTAAGGTACCTTTGAGAATGATATGCCAGAATTATGGTCTGTTTCATACATGTCCAAATTAAGATGTCTAATAGGAAATAAATTTTAAAAACTGGCGACAGTGTTTTGGCCACAATTTTGGTTTTCGTTAAATTATGTTAAATCATAATCCAAATAGCATTACCATTGATATGGTGTCGCTCAAATACCTGTACCTGTTATGTATGAGTGCAAAATTCAATGAGGTAACTGGTCATGTGGTACATGTGACACCAAAGTGTTAGTTTGACTAACCACATCTAATATGTAACAGTAGTACAGAAGGCAGAAACTTCTCATATGACCCAGTTTTTTCACAATATCCTTGACCAAGTGAAATTAAATCGATAAAAAATCCACCTGGTAGGATTGTAAGTTGGTGAACATGTTTGTGGTTAGAACAGCTGATACTGCATGGAATTCAGAAGTCTGTGGTTATTTCTATGAGATAATTCTTTTATTCTACATGAAATATCATAATGCATGTACAATTTGTATTATGTTAAAGACGTTTTTATGATCCCCTTTCCCCATTCCAGTGATGGTATGAAATAATCACAAAATAAAAGTCATAAAGAAACTCTAATCTGTTTACTAAGCTTTGTTAAAATGGTTGGCAGCGCTCATGATAAAGACAAGGTTATTTTATTTATCAGTTACGATAAAGTAGAATACTTTTCACCTTTTGAGCATTTCTATCCCTTGTTAATATAACATATATATAATTAAGATGAAGCAACTAAAGTTAACGTTCGATGTACTGTCTAATTAAAAAGTACAAATTATATTTTGATAAGGAGCATTATCACATCAGTACATTTCAATAAAAGATGTTTGAAATATTTTTGTTTAAAAATGATCTAAAAAATACCAGTAATATAAAAGTTTATTGTATGGTATATGCTTCTTGAAAAAACTAGAAAATGTCTGTAAGACATGAATGCCCCCGCCCCCCCCATGTGAAATAATAGTGAAAGGTCCGAAAGAGATGATTTTGTTAATTTGTATGCAACTATGTACAACTTAAGTTTCATACTTAAATTGACAAGTTGATTTCACGTACATGAATTTGGAATTTTGTTCTCTGGAAAAAATGAGGGAGTATATTAGTTCCTTATGCCTTAAAACCCACAAGTACCATATTATGTAGAAATAAGATGATGTTCCTCTTTTTTGAGTTATCTCCCCCTGGTGGCCATCTTTTTTTAGAATGCCGAGAAATTCAACACTGCATGAGGTCTTTCCATACTTGATATTTGTATGAAGTTTCATGAAAATTGCTTTCCGAATGAAGTTGTTAGGTGGTATATACTGATTTGGGACATGGGCAACACTATATGCCCCCGGCCATAAATGGCGGGGGCATAAAAATCAAATATTTCCTACAATTAACTTACCTTAACCAAAGCTCTTGGACAACAAGGACACTTTCACTAATTGCAATGTCAGGAGAATCTTTAGGGCTGAAATAGCAACCATTTGGTGTTTTATCAAGTGCCTTTTGTGAAGTAAATGCTATTATTCATGTAATTAATTATATAAACTAAATACATCACAAGATTTTGGGGGCAAATGACCTCTGGACCTAAAATTAAATTGGCCCATTTCAGGTTGCATCATATTGTGGTATGTACTCCAAAACTGAGGCACTATAGCCTGGATGTGAAAATACTACTCCAGCAAAAGAAATAGCAGTGGAATATGTATCTGGAAAGGAAAATAAATATCGCAATTCATAATAATGTTAAATAAGTTCAAATAACAGTTGACTTAAATGTTCACCTGCCATTGCATCTAACCTGATAAGGGATGTCATCAGATGCCGGCTCATGTCGGCTATCGCCATATCAAAGACTTCATGATCATATCTATGATCCCAATAGTCCAGTGATTTTAAAAACAAACATCTGATTCCTGAACTGTTGATTTCACTGTCATTACTTACATCTCTTCAGGATGTAATGTTCCAAATATTTCATTATTTACATTAGATAATTACCTAGATCAAGACAAATTTACAGGACTTGCACTTTCACAAGCATCTCTTTTGCCCTTGTTTTATGAATGTGAGTTAGAATTCAATGAGATTTTAGTAAGCAAAGGGTATATTGTAAAGTTTAATGTAAAAATTATGATGAAAAGGCAGCAAAAAGTTGAAAGTTGAAATGTCCAACTAGACTGAAAAACTAATCTTGATAAATCAAAGATATTTCTCTAAAAAAAACAATCTAGATTAAGATATAAAGTCTTACTTTTCTGGCTGAACCCGTAACCTTTTGAAAGCAGTGGGAAGCTTGATTGTGTTTTCTTCTCTCTTGAAGCTATCGTCATCTCCCATTTTACTAATAGAAGCAACATTGCAATAATTGATTTCAAAATATTTCCGAATATAAACACAAAAAAAGTTAAAACAAACCTTCAAACTACATACCAAGTAATTCAAGTATATGATTTATACTTCTGAAATTATCTTTATTACAAATGTATGTAGAAATTACATTATGTCAAAAAACAATTCGATATAATCATACAAGTTCAAGAAAGCAGAAAATGTATTACTAGGTCAAAAACATGTATTATTTATTATGATGTTAACATATATATCTGATTAAATAGAACATTTAATTGTAATGACATATTAAAAATATTTTTCCTTTTTTGTTTTGCTTCCTTGCGAAGCGTTTAAACCTACATATACGTGTCACTGTTGGATGCGTTTGATTCCCGTGGATTTTCATTGACAAAGTCCTAGACTGAAACCAGCATTCAGTGTTTTAAAAATGCTGTTGAAATAAACATGTTTTAATACCTTCTGCAACGTCCTGCTTTAGTCCACAGGTCTTTAAAATCCGTAAGAAAAGCCAATCTCCCACGAAAAGATCAACTAATTGATTTGTGTATGACATCACATAAGCTTCGTTGCTAAATGAATCAGACAACATTCGAAACATTCGATATGGTGTTAAAAATAGAATCGTTTCATCAGGTTGTTTATAAACATGTTGCTTAATCACTTCCTGTCGTGGGTTTCCAAGACATGGAAATAAAAGCATATATCGGCGATTATCATATTTACAAACACACCTTCTCCACGGTAGCAAAATTAAATGTGCAAGTTTCACATAATTTGTCTTGTATTGCACCAAAACTGCTTCGTAAATTTTCTACGCGAGTCTATACATCGCGTCGCCATATTGTCTTGTGAATGACGTCATCGTGTTTGTTAAAGTCGTTATTTGTAAAGACTTTATTTTAATAGAATTATATGTTAACTTCCCTGCTGTTACCATTATTTAATGAAAGTTGAGTTTGATATTCATTTTGGATGCTTTCTCTTATTTTCTAAAATATCAATACACACATTTTGATGACGTAGAAAGCACGCGACGTCAGCATGAGCTCCATACGTCGTATAATGAAGGGGATGCATACACAGAGTTAAAGATACCATATTTTAGCGCATTTATCACACAACAGACTGTTTGAAAAGCTGTAAGCAATGGAGCTGACAGAGGTGGTATCCCCGCACGTGGCAGTACCTGTATTTGGTGTCCTGCTGTGTGCATTTCTCGTTTTTGCCTTTGGTTTTAAATCACCTGCCCAGCCACCGAGCTTCAATTTTGATGAGGATAGCAAGAAAAAGAAGCCAAAGAAAGCCAAGGTATCAGGTTGATTTAATGTCAGCAGACACATAAATTCGAACGTAATGACACACTATATGTGTCATACCTTCTATAAGTATGCTTTCTGAATGCATTTTCGTATCAAAAGAAATTTCAACGGAAAATGAAGAAATTGTAACCAATGTCGATTATGGGGTGCCAATGATGATACAGATTAGATATGAACGCAAACAAAAAAGTTATGCTTTATGGTAAACACAGGTACTTGCGTTCTGGAATATTAACAGTTTGAGGATGAAAATCTCATTCTTCTGATGAACTTGTTTATTTTTTATAAACTTGTGGATGTTCCAGAACCCAGACACCTAAAGACGGAAAATTTTTGTCTCTGAAATGATAATTTATTGTCAGTATTCACATTTATTATGCTATTTGCTTTGCTCGTTTTAGAGACATAATGGGTCTGTTCATAAGTGGTAGAAACAAATCCACCATGGATTCAGTGAATTAAACAATTATTCCTGCAGCATACCCACAAATTGTGGGTTCATTTCAATACAAAACAAGTTTACTTATCTCACTAACCTTATCAGACCTTATTTTTAAGCGATTCTATTTTGTCATTTTCCTCTCTCCACTTTGACGTATAATTTCAAATGCGCCGCAATTATCAATGATACTAATAGCAGTATAAGTCAAAGCTGAGAGAGAAAAAACACACACTTGTGATTGGCTTAAAAATTGCAAACTGTAAGGTCTGAAAAGTTTAGTGAGGAAAATAAATTATTTTCGCTTTGAAATGACCACACATTTTCTGTGACGTTGCTTAAATAATCGTTTAACTCACTGTATCCATGTTGGATGTGTTTCTAGCACTTTTATGAACATGTCTGTTCTGTCTCTAAAATGAACATGGTCAATAAAAATATACCTATCAGTAACAGCATAATAGATGTGAATAATGACATTGAATTATTATTTTGGAGACAGAAAGTTTTGGTTTAAGACACCTGTGGCCATGAAAGGCAGGGGCATATTACATAGTGTTGCCCAAGTTGACATTTATTCCATCATAATTGGTGTTGGTAAAATTTTCTTCTTGATCCTTGATGGATAAAGAGATTGAACTTCAATTATGCATAAGATAAATTCAAATGGAGGTTAGATTTTGTTTTGGGCAGCATCTTGTATAATGATTAACTGCCCTTAAATTGAAAAAAAAATATTAAGCTATAGCTTATAAGATCATAGGAAGATGGGGTGACTATGCCAAGTTAGACTATAGCTTATAAGAAAGTAGGAAGATAAGGTAACTGCCAATTTAGACAATGGCTTATAAGATAATAGGAAGATAAGGTGACTATGCCAAGTTAGGCTATAGCTTATAAGTAAATAGGAAGAAAAGGTGATTGTGCTAAGTTAGGCTATAGCTTATAAGTAAATAGAAAGATAAGGTGATTGTGCTAAGTTAAGCTACAGGTTAAAAGAAGATAGGATGAGAAGATGACTGTGTTAGACTTTATTTAAACAGGAGGAAGAGGTGACCAGATCCATTTAGACAATAATTGATAGAAAACAGGAGAAAGTACATATCTATTGTAAGTTAGGCATTTAAAGAAAAGAAGTTGACAGTGCATGGTGAGAAAACAGGAAGAAAGGGTGGCAGTGTCCAATTTGGCAATAAGAAAATAGGAGAAGGAGAATGTGTACATTTAGGTACAGAATACCATTTCCCAAATTTTAATGTCCCATTACTGACAGACATGATGGATCCGCAAAATTTGAATGAGACCCTCAGGAAAGTCATGAGTCCAGCACTCAAATATCTGAGTCCCTAAAATCATCAAAATAGAGTTGAATCATGTAAGAAAAAAGAGGAAAAGGTGAATGCTCAGATAGCTACATTAAAGCAATAAAAAACAGAAGGAGGTGACTGTACCAAGTTATTCAATAAGAAAACTGGAAGAAAGGATGACAGTGTTGAGTTTGGCAATAAGAAAAGAGGAGATGGTGACTGTGTCCAGTTAGGCAATAATCACTTTACATGAAAGAAAAGAGAAGATGACTGTCAAGATAGGCAAATAGAACAGAAGCTGGAAGGAGAAGGTGACTGTCCATTTTAGGCAGTTTATGATTATTATAAGAATCAAAAGGAGAAGGTGACTTTGCTCATTTAAACAATAATATCTAATATAAGAAAGCAGGAGATAAAGTTACTGCAAAGTAAGGCTGTGAAAAAACATGATTATAGATAACTACCAGTACCCAATAAAGCAATGAGAAAACAGATGTGCCCAAGTCACTGAAGAATTATGCAGGCTTTAGAAAACATTATGAAGTTTCCTTCATTGAATTAACAAGACAAATATGTTAGGTAATTTTAAGGAGTTTTTGATGCATTTCAGCTTATTACCATCTGAAGTAAATACTGACGTGATTTTTAGAACACATTTTTGAGTCTTGAAGTTGTCTTTTTCCTATGGAACTCCCATTCATTCTTAGATGTTGATCCCACAGTACATCATTTTTAGTACATTGCATAGAGACTCATGAAATCAGTAAAAATCCTTCAAACCAAGTGGTACAGCAATTTCCTGCTTCAATCATACACAATATTTAGTCTTACCTCACCCCTGTTCAAAAAGTATTTTGAAAAAGCTTATTTTCTGAGATTTACTTGATTTTAGATTGCATTTGGGAGATTCCATTTGCAGATTCGTAATTACTTCTTGATGTGAGAGAGGGACACTGCCTACTATTTGTACATGGATGCAATAATGTACCATATAATGTACGATTATGAAAAGGTTTACTACAGTTGTGTTAGTCGTACACCTCAAAGTGAGAGGTATATAGCACAATATGTCCCTCTGTCCCTTCCTGCTGTGTCCCGTCAAATTCTTGATCAGTTTCATATTTTTAGCACCTCTCAAGAGAACAGATTTGGTTCATATTTACTCTATAGTTTCATAACATCAAATTCTACACCTAATCATATTAAGAAGGTCATCAATTAAGATTAAAGGGTAAAAGGACACATTTTGCAACTTTTTGCAAATTCATCAAAACTATGATTTATGTTTTACAGACATTTTCTTGTTAAAAATTTGTCAGCTAGTAATATTCTACAATGATATACAATATAATTATGAATTGGTGTATTTGTGATAGATGTCATCACTATCATGTACTGTTAGATTTTACAGATCAGGAAGACACTGTTTAAAATTTATGATATGTCTATGGAGGTCATCACTTGAAATTCTGTGAGCAGAGCTAACAGGTTGACGATATGGCCTATAATACACACACCACAGAACCTACATAGGCTGTTGATACACACTTAATCAGAAACATTGGCAGCTGTTAGATAAGACTTAAATATACCTACTAGGTAAATCGGCACAAAGTATTGATTTTTTCTAGAGTGCCATTCATGTTATTGGCAAGTCTGTTTCTAATGTACAGTAAAGTTTTTAAATGTAGTGTTACACCAATATACAACGTCATGTACTTTCTAAAGCTGCTTGGTCTAACACAGCTGTTGTAGAGTCACTGTAACCACCACATAAATGTCTCCAGTGTGGGAGAATGATTAAATACTTAATTTTGTTGAACTATTTAATAGACATATTGATTTAAATTTTGATAATGTAATTTTTAAACTGTCCCTTATTTTTGGTAAATTAGGTACATGTATTATGCAGTTGTTACCAAGTAGGATCAGGTAATTGTATTAGAGAATGTCATGCTCCTTATTGGATTGAATTAACTGTTGGAAAAATAGAAAATGTTTATGAAATTAACTTCTAACTTTAATGTTAGATATGGTTTAAAGAATGACATAATAAAACAGGGAAGGATTGAAGACTGTCATGACTGAATCAGTGTATATTGTTCTTATTTACGGGAATCTCGAACTGACCAGCATAATGAAGAATGACAATTCCAATAGTGTTAAAATAGCATATTGAGCATGAACACATATCACAAAAAATCCTGTTTAATGCAAAGCAAACAAATGTGAAATTGTACAAGTTACAAGATAAGCGATTATTTTAGGAATTAACTATCCTACTTTTTGTTAAATTAGAAAATAAATGGGTTTTTTTTTCATTTTAAAATATTTAAAATCATCATAATTTTTCCTTGATTGTTGAAAAAGTGTGGCAGTTACATGACTTTTAAGTCGTTAAATTACATGTATATTGTTAAGCTTTAGATTTAAGTGCTTTCTAAACACCTCTTGTATACTACAGTGAAGTCTAATCACCAACGAATTGCATTAATTGTAATATTTAGAATATGTCTATATATCTATATATGATCATGATGTCATTTATGAAGTAAAAGATGAAGAGAATGTTTATGTTTTGCAAGTGAGTTTCTGATTTTGATGTTAAATTTCAATTTGATGCGAAACTTTCATAGATATTTTTGACACTTGTGCTTAATGCATTGTTTTCGTGTCTTGTAGCAACAGAAAAGTCAAACTAATGGCCATGTCACGGCTGTGACCCAAGAAACCAGTGTGCCAACCAAACCCCAGCCATCGCCTAAACATGCTGATAAACCAGCCAAGTCCCCATCTCCTGGAAACAAAAGTGCAAAAAAGGCAGAAATTCAGACTAAAAAGGTAGGCAATGAAAAATAGTTTAAATTACCTGAGGTTGTAAATAACTTGCATCAGTATACATTGTACCTTGAAATGAAGACCTTTTATAAGAGTAATTTACTGGTTAACCTTAGTTAAGCTATCTTTCATCCTCCATCTTGAATCCTAATTAGGTCACTTGTATGACCTTTTTTGAAGATGTGACAGCTCTAATTTAAGTATGGTCAAATGTTGTAACTAGTCATAACCTATACTTTGACTTATAATCATTACATGTTGTAGGTGGGAGCATGATGATGCCTTTTTTGGGGTGGATGGTAAATGCTGTGGTTCGATGATGGATAATTGATGTAATTGTGCACTGGCATTTGATTTTTCAAGGGGGAAAGGTAGTTGGTCAGCATAGATAGAAGGGGCATAAAATATCATGGTTTGAAAATTGGAATTTATTATTGTATGTGTGCTCTTGTTTCCTAGGCAAAGAAAAACAAGGAAGAGGTAGCTGTTGTTCCTACTATAGCGTCTGCAAAAATAGAAGAAGATGGTATGTTGTTATAATTAGGCTAAAGGTAGCACAGTTACTGTTTCAGCCTATTGTCACAGCCCTTGGAAGTAGATGTTACTACCAATCCTAACTTTCTGATTGGTTAAAATTGTCCGAGTGACCCATGACCCCAGGTGGCGATATTGTGTTAAAAATAATGCCGCCATCTTTTAAAACAGTGTTATGCATGCATCAGTTGCAATGAGACAAGCAAGTGTTATAGAAACTTACCAAAAGTGACAGGCTAGGTGTTCATAACACTGTTCAGATTGAGATTTGCGACAGTCACAACCTAACATTTTTCTGGTTTAAAGTTGAGGTGAGATAAAGATAGTAGCTAGAACACACAGGGTTATGGGATCATTGATTTCTATTCTATTCTTGACAATTGATGCCAGTAAGAGTTTTAAAGACTCTTAAAAATTATCTTTTAAACTAATCAGTATAGTTAACGACATCATAGATCTATTTGATTATAATACACATTTATGCCAAGTTTCTTATTGATATTTGTATCATTGGTTGAGTAATGGAGAGTTAAATTTTTCTTGATTGCTGAAGGCACACATGTTCATTTTGTATCACTTCCAAGGGCAGCATCTTTAAACTATAAATCAGTGGTCAACAGATACTGAATAGACCCTTTATAATCTATTGTAAAGAAGTTTTCTTTAAACCGACCATGCATGGGACATGATTATTTGTTTGGCTTAGGGAGTGTTCAGTTTGTAGAAATAAAGGAAGTTGACCGGTCTAGACTTGGATATAATTGAACGGATTCTGTTCTGTACATTGCATTAACCATTCTGTAACTTTAAGCATTTACACTGCACATCTCCAACTGAATACAGCAAGAAAACTTTAAAAGTATTTTAGTTAAGTGAAAAAACAGGGATACTCGTATACTATATATGACTTTAATAATAATAATAATAATAATAATGAAGATAAACTTTATTTATTGAGGATATAAAACATGTTTAGCTAATGGCTAATTTTCCACATGGTCCTCTGATTAGTAAAATAATGTTAGTTAAAATCTACAAAGTTACATACATGAATCAAGTTTAAACTACAATCTACATATTAAACAACAATGGGATTTTAAACTATATCTTGGAAAAAAATTTCACAGACATTAATTAAAATTATCATAGAATGCACAATTACTCATGCAAAAATATTTCATCAATTAAATGGCAGGTGCCTAATATACATACATGCTAATATAGCAAACAGATAAAAATTGACATAGTTATATGCTAATATAGCATAGTCTAAAATTTAGGTCAATATGGTGGTAAAAAAGTTGAATAAGAATGTCAAATATATCACAAAGAGATCTAAGACATAGATATAAGGTGTTGAATAAGTTTTCTTTTAAAAGTGGAAAAACAGTGGACATTCTTAATATCATTGGGTAAAATATTCCTTTACTTGAAAGTAAATCTGTGCATTGTCTAGCCCAGCGAAAGTTATGTTACATACAGCTGACAAGAGGTGATAGATTTTGAGAAATATTGGTGCAGGAAGTAGAACTGCATATCCATTTAAAGTTACAAATAGATATAGGAAATGTTTATCATTAACATTTTAAGCTTTTCAGTAATGTCAGTACTTTTGAATTATATTTTCATGGTTATAAAAACTAATTGTCTGACCTTCTAGTGTTCTTAGCATCTTCAATATTGTAATACATAAATGAAACCTTACAATGTTTTAAATTTTGTTTTAAGCTGTGTCGCACTCGTGAGGCCCTAGGTGAAAATAATGACATGAGGTCCTGTTGAATAAAATCATGTCACATTTATTTAAATTTTATAACTAATGAATCATTTTGAATATAAAAAATAGAGGAAACTTTTAGATTGAATTAATGCTACTTGTTGAGGATGTTATTATGCAGCTCAATATACAGCTTTTGTGTACATGTGATCCTGCAGTGTTAAGTGTATGAGTAAAGGGAAATAACAAATGTAAAAATAATGATCGCATTTTGCGAAAGGACAAAGATAAATTTGAACAGCAGTGTACTTGTTTTAGGTAGCAAAATTAACTTAACATTGCCATTTGAATATTTTTATAATGATATGGCGGATTTGATATTATGATATGTGTTGTCAGGATGGACCACTCAAGTGTCCCGAAAGGACAGAAAGATGAAAAACAAGAAGGAAGATAAGAATGATTCTGGTTCAGGGGAGGAGTGTGAGATCAAAGTAACACAGGTTGAGGAAGCTCCCCAGGAACAGAGGTCAAAAGGGAAAAACAAGAAAAAGAAGGTAATTTAAAAGTTAATGTGTCTCTAGTTACAGTGGTAATTCTCACCTAAATGATGTGTGTACATCACTGTAACAGATAAAAGCAGTTTAGTTCACCATAACAAACATTATATATTCAAAGACTGAAAAGACTTCTATATTTTTTCTTGCAATTAACTTTCATATGCATTGCTCAATTGATATCAAGGAAATCTGTGCTATGTTTTTATGCTAAGAGCATTTTCAATGCTCTTCAGCATGTTGCTATCGCCCCTGAGGCTGAGTATCAGTACTTCGTTTTCATTGGTTCATAAATCGAAAGTTTACTCCTACTCCATCTGCCGGACATTACCGTAATCATTGGATTATCGCCCCTACAAGTTGCTGATCCTAGTCATTAAATGAAACAACCTTATCGACATTTTCTTCATTACCTGTACATCAAGAAAATGTTTTGTGTTGTGTATTAATGATAATCAGACATCGAAATTTGTAAATACAATGACAAAGACTCACGTTTATGGTGGTAAATTTTGCGAGGCGATGCCAATATGGCGGCTTGACTTTCTTTTCCGCGCGATGCATTGTGGGAGTCATATACATTTGTATATCTTTCTATTTTTCTTTTTTCGAAAATTTACTTCCCGTTTAATACTGTTGATAACTATTAAAAATACTTATATATGTAGTTGAAAATAAAAATGAAACTAAAATAAGAATGATTTAGAGTAGCATAAAATTTTGACGGAAACAGCCGGGGTGCTCTGTGCTGCTGGACCCTGAAAGAAGACGGCGGCTGAAAGAAGATGGCAGGTAATTCATGTAGGTAAGTATCACTATATATATATGTTAGCTGAATTTGAAGTCAATACTTATACTGAACTATCAATTGCATTTTTTGCAACAATTCATTTGGAATGAGCCTTCGCGTCTATTGAATTTAGGCTGCACTTTTTTTTCAAAATATTTTCAAGACTTTTCCCTTGAAGCAGTATGCATTTGAAAAATGTTATGTAAGCATCTAGCACATTTTTGTTGCTTCCGTAAAGTATTTCAGTATTTTGAAATGGATTTATTTTGGAATGATCGTTTCATAATGGTCTCATCGCAGTCACTTCTGTCAGTGGCCCAACAGATCGGAAATTAACCAGAAAAAAAACTTATCCGTAATATTGTACTGTACTACTTACGCTACCGTGAATAGATCTAGGAATCTGTCTGGGTAATATATCGATTTTACTTTAAAATATCTGTCACTGTCCGCGCTATTGTAGGTCTAGCTCTTTCAAATTTCTGATCGGAGATAATTTATAAGTACCCCAACGGCCCAAGACCAGAGTTTGAAATCGTACGGGAACTCTACAGCTATGCTAATTTTCAGGTTTACATGTGAAGTTAATATATATAGTTTTAGCTTAATTTTAGTTTTTGTCTTTCTGACATGATGTCTCGTTGATTCTGTTGAAGAGTGATGCATGTGAACGATTACAATATGAAGATTAGGAATAATGAAGATGTCAATTAACATCTGATTCCCGGAAAGTATTTTAATAAAGATTAGGATAAACCTAGCAAAGTGTTAGGTCCCAGTGTGAATGTGTAAAGTTCCAGTGTGAATGTGTAAAGTCCCAGTGTGAATGTGTAAAGTATTATTGGTACAATTGAACATTTTGATATATGTACTGTATTTGTTCATCTCAGAAATTTCAGTATTATGTCAACTGCGTCCACTTTCAGTTCAACACTTTTGATTCATCAATTTTACCCAGCCCTAGGCTCAATATTTGTCATTAATTGTCGACTGTTTTTTAGAGTTTTATTTTCATGGTGAATGGAATGAAATGAGATAAACAGTGTAACCAATACCCCTCGAGAGCTAATTAAGACATTGCAGTATTATCATTTTGGGCCTTATTAAAAGTCAAATTGCAACTTTTAAGAAACTCAAGTGACTGTAAGTACAACAATAAGATGTCAATAATCAATGAAATTGATTAATTGAGAAGACATTTTCTTAGTACAGTTAACCAGGCTTTGTAGTGGTTTGTTCAGAACTGTAGTTCTGGTTAAGTAACCATTAATTGTGTCCTTTCAGTTACAATGACATACATTTTTGAAATACCTCTGCTGTAGCTAAATATGGCATTTGTAATAGACAGCCAACATTAATTTTGTGATAGACATAGCCAAATTTAATTTTAGGATCAGTTAGGACAGCTACTGTTTGTAATAGGCATGGGTTCAATTACATGATGATGTAATTAATGAAATTACAATTACATTATGAAAATGGCATTGCCATTGCATGACGGTCCAATGTAATTAATTAAATTACACATTACCTTTCAAGTCATAATGATTTTTGAAATACAAATGTCAAAATAAATTATCATACTGCACAGATTTATCTCATGAATTTAACTTTATGATTCAATCTCTGTATGACCATGGTCAAGATATTCTTATTTTCTAGCTGTCCATCACTTCATAATTTGACAGTCCTGAATGTCAAAACAATTAATTATATTTAATATAGACTCCTATTGGGAAGTTCAAGACTATAAGCTTATACAGAAGTGTATATTTCTTGCACATAATCATAGCAATAAAGAAATATAGTTATTTATTTCCCTTACTCTCTTTCAGCAGGTGGATGTCCCTGAAGAAATGAAATCTGGAATGGTAGAAGGTATCTCTTGATTCTTCTAACTTGGAATTGGCCATTGTGACCAACAATGGATTTGAGGACCTTATGGTGGAGAAAAACGTCCTTCTTTCCGACCTCCAATTAGATGTTGAAGATGGTTAATCACTTGAGGATATGCTAACAACCATGTTGCCTTTTAAGGTCACAGTACTCTCTAAAGGCGGCAATATAATTACCATCACAAAAGAAGAATCAACAAATGGCAGAAACTAAAAAAATGTGGAAAAGATCATTGTATGCTGCATTTGTAGTAAATTTCTTTACAATCTTCAATTCACTTAAGTAGAAAGATTCACTAGTTATACCAAGTTTATGTAGAAAGGCTCACTGTATACTGAGTTTGTAGTGTACATAGAAAGGTTTACTTATTTTTTTTTCTGAGTTATGTATATACAATATATAAAAAAAACTTTTTGTAGAAAAGATCACCGCATACTGAGTTTGTTGTTTACAAATGTGTAGAAAAGATCGCTGTATACCGAGTTTATAGTTTACAATTGTCTAGAAAAATCACTGTATACTGAACATAATACGACTTCTGTTTAAAACCTTCATTTAAACTTGGACATGTATTTTTTTTATTTATCTTAAAAGTCTACCTACAACAATTTTGTGTATGCAATCTTGTACTAGGATATTGACATGACAAGATTACATTGCTAATCGAAGCATGGAAAGAATACTGAATAAAGAAAACAAGATATAAGCATCTTTATCATGTTTTTATTTTTTTTATTATCATTATTATTTTTCCATGATGTCTGTCCACATGGAATTTGTAAGCACTCTTGTGCATTCTTATACCACCAAAAGGGTGGGTAAATCGAATCAAGTTGTCTATCTGTCCATCCATCTGTTTGTCTGTCTGTAGACACATCTTGTCTAGACAACTCCAATGAAACTACAGTAATATTCGGGACAATGTGTAGATGTGCATGCACCATTTTCCCCTGGAAATATTGATTGCCATGGCATCTGGTCAATATAGACAGGTTTTGCATGTCGGTCAACTTCTAAACCTGTGGACCAATTTCAACAAAACTTCGCAGGAATATTAGGGAACATGTGCACATGCCGCTGTGTTTCAGAGGATGTTTTTTTGCATAAGGTCACCATGGGGAGATAACTAAGGCTGTGGGTGTTGGGGGTATTAGTTATCATTTGGATTACAGTTTCAGTTATCCCTGGGCAATGTGGCGAGGATATAGTAATGATTTTGAGGATTGAATGTAGAGGTCACAGTACTTGCATAAGTACTATATGATTACCTTGTAAACGCATTGAGGCCAAGACAGTTAGTATACCTTAATCAAATTTGGAACATGTATCCCTTGTGAGGAGAAGTCGGTTTCTTTAGAAATTCAGGGTCAGATATCAAAGATCAAGGTCACAGTCAAAAAACGGATAGTTGCATGGGGGTGTTTTTCCATTGTATTACCCTCGTTTTTCTATCAAATTTCACAACCTAAAAGATATTCACATCTTGTAAATTTCAAGGTTCAAGGTCACTGTAAGGATGTTAAAAAAATGATAATACAAGAGGAATAAAATATCTTGTGACAAGTTTTAGAGAACAAAGAATATATAAACATGAAAAATTGGAACAAAGTCAATATCTACTTGAAGATTCCCAGAAAAAGTACAAGGAGAATAAGACCAGGTTTTCTGGAAGAATAGGCATCTTCTATTTTAAGTTATGGTGACATATCATGTTTG